CACACACACACACACACACACACACATACGCAGGGACCAGGGACTATTCAGTGTAACAAATACAAGCCTGACCCCTCATACATTACCTGTTAATCGCCTGTAGGTTTTATAGTGAAGACATCGACACACATGGGCAGATTGTATCATGGTTACAGCCAGTTTATGTCACGCGCTGCCGTTGAATGTCCCAAAAGTGGTACTTTTGTTTGACCTTGTAGATGGAAAGATGTGTTACATGGTGAAGGATATGTTATATGTACGAGGCAGAAAAGGACAAAAAGTCTGTACTTTGCCACCATGATATGGCTGAATCAAGAGGGTTGTGAAAGGATTTCCCAGACTGGCTACTATTACTACTACTACTACTATTCTATGTGTATCTCACCACTAAGTCTCTAATTGGCACAAAAGAAGCAATCAGAACCATGAACATTAGAAACTCAGTGTGTCGTATACATATTGTGCACTTTGTTGATGATACTGCAAATCTGCCATTTGTGTTTGGGCTATTGATACGTATAATTGTCAGCTGTATGAACATGCAACATCTTGTTTTATTGCTTTAAATCAGGGGTGGTGAACCCAAGGCATAGCTGCATGAAAATAATATTCAATGGAAATTATATTTTCAGAATCTTGGTTAAAATGCTGTCTCTATGCTGTCCCTATAATCTTTCCAGTGCCTTTCCCCTAGTTGTATTAGTTAGCATTTTGATAAGATGCAACATTTGAGTAAGTCTCCTGTTTCGTTTCGCAGGTTTTCTAATGTGATCTCGCTTATTTAATGTACTGGGTAATTCAATGTGGTTTTTCTGCAAATGGCTAAATAAACTGAATGTGTGGTACAGTGTGTACTTCAGTGGATGACACCTGCAGATTGTGGCTCTTACCCTCTGACCCGTTAGCCACCCCCGCTTTAGATTGTAATATCGAAAGCACATTAATAATGGCCCGCCTAGTACTAGTACAGCTTCAATACATCTGGGGATGATTTTTTACTGCCGTCATCATTGAAACAACACTTAGTTAAGTGATTACACTCTTCTTGTCAAGTGGCCAATGTCATTTTTGCCGACATTGTATAGTGTCATAGGGAATTTCCACATCGCATGATAGCGCCTTGAGTGCAGACAGTGCTTATTTACTGAAGAGAGGACCACCATGACCTTGCAGATTTGTTCCTCATGTTATTCAATATGTATTAATCAGAATCAGAATCAGAATCAGAATCATTTTTATTGCCAACGTAAGTAACGGGAGGTCACAGACTTGGAAATTGCTTTGGCTCAGTGCAACAGTCAAAAAGAGATAATAAAAATAAGAATAAAAAACACTTCTAAAGAATAAATTTAAATTTAAAATAGAGTTACAGTTACTATTTACAATATACAAGTGCACATGGTGCACACAATGTAAGGTGACAGCAGTACAGTGAAGTAAAGTGACGTATGATGGGCAGTAAAGTGACTTTATAAAGGGCGGGGGGACAGGTTAAGAAGTGTTCAAGAGTCCAACAGCAGAGGGGAAGAAACTGTTCTTGTGGCGGGAGGTTCTAGTCCTGATGACCGCAGCCTCCTGCCTGAGGGGAGTGGTTGGAATAGTCCATGTGCAGGGTGAGAGGGGTCGGCTGTGATACGACCAGCCCGGCCTCGAGCTCGGGCGACGTACAGGTCCTGCAGCGATGGAAGGCTGCGGCCGATCACTTCCTCTGCAGAGCGCACAATGCGCTGTAGTCTCTGTTGTCCCTCCCTGTAATATTAATATTAGTAGGAGTATAACAGCGCTGGTGGCTGTAATGTCCATCTCAGGGGAATGTGATAATCTGTGCAGGTTTTGCATCAACCGTGAGAACAACATGCTGTGAGATTTAAAGTTGGGGTACCTCACTTTACAACGGAACTCTAATAAAATCCATCCGACTAGTTCTTTGCTCTCAAAACAGTTCGGCTCTATCACTAGTTTATATAGATTTTGGATTGTGTTACAAAAGCTTTTTCAGATGGAAAATTGAAACTGACACCATCCTCAATTAGCCAATCAGCTCTCAGCCCAAAATAGTGACTCACAGGGATCTCTCTTACAAGTACAGTATGCACAATATAACATATTTTCTAATAAAATTAGGACAAAGATGAAAAAAAAAGGATTTGATTCCCCAGCTGTACAGCACTGTATTCTTCTACACGTATTACCACTTTTGTTTTGGATTGAGTGTATTTTTCAATCACCCCTGCCCAATGAACCTCCGGTAGGTTTCCCTGGTTTGCGTGGGAGCCATCTTATTGCCACTCCTCCTCTCCATCAGCCCGTGCACGTCGACAGGTGACGGCGGCGAAAATGACTTTGGTTAGTGCCACTGATGCGTTGGCTGGCGGCTCGTGGCAGGGGCTGTCTCATTAGCATGTGTGACACACTCCTGCAGGCTAGGCTATAGTAGCACAATGCGTCTCCTCCTCTGCCCCTGTGTGTGAGTGTGTTTGTGTGTGTGTCTGTGTGTGTTTGTGAGCGTGCTTAGTGTCACAGAAGGATTTGTCATGTGCCGTCCCAAAGCAGAGGGAGCCAGGGGACTGCGGTGGTCTAGTCCAGGGCTGATCCTTGCTTAAGAGGAGCTGAGAGAGGCGACACAGGGTCAAATAAAGGATGACATCCCTGACACAGGTTTTAATTACTCCATCCACCTCTGATGGAGCACCTTTGAAGGCTGGCACAGGGCAGCTTGCACCGCAGTGGAAATCTGTTCTTTTGCCAATGCCCTGTGTAACTGGATGAAAGTCACTGCTGAGCTGAAATCACACTGAAATTTCAAGTCACTTTGTTGAAATGAAAAGAGTTACTAGAGGATGAACACAATGTTTTCCAGTTTAGGTGTTTTTCTCCCTGCCTCGGACTCACAAACTCAGCAGCACAAAGGTTGTATACTATATCTAGCCAGGCTTATTTTTCTTATTTTTCATATGTGACATGCAACAATTTTACTGGTGTGAAGGCATTTATTCTGACTAGTTACCAGCAGTTAGTCATGTTAAGTAGTTTTTGGTTGGGAGTGATTGTTAGTCACTGACAATGAGTCATGCATATTATTATATTTATCACTTTATCAAATTCCTGATTAAAACACCAAAATAATGTGTTAAAATAAAAAAATATTCACTCAATATCTTCTAAAAATACAATTATCTTGGTAAATTGCCTGTTAAAATGTAACCACTGCCTTATTGTGATTAGATCAGTAGACATTTGCAGCTGCTGTATGTAAGATAATCAATTATGAATGGTATATTTTCCACAGTTATGGAAATATTTAAAAAAAATCTAATGCCATAGTGTTCATAAAGAAAGAGCATTTTGAAGCAGCGTGTGTTCGCTTAAAGCCACATGAGAAACTTGATATTGGTTTCACCTGACTTCACACACAGAGACCTTTTCTCTTCCAGAAACGTCCATCTCGATTGGACTAAAGCCGTCTGTACTGTAAAAGCTCTTTATCTCCCCTCTCCGCTGTCTTTGCTGCCATACAAGAACTGACATGAAGGACCTCTCAATGGGACACATGAAGCACTGCAGGATCAGTGAAGCTCAGTGGAATCATGCGATCAAACGCACTATGCCACCGAAACATGATGCAAACAGATCTATGGAATCTGAGACATACACACAGGGTGTATTCAGGCGACCAGTTCAGTACAAAACACAGTATTTGTAGGTCCGAATGAAGACAACCGGGCAGAGTTGAATATCAATCAACGTTTTGTTTGTGGTTACTCCACATTAACTAGCGTTTGTAGAAATTGAAGAAAAAAAGTGGTGCTCTGTATAGCCCTGCACTGAGGACCGGCACTATATACTACGCTAAAACATTGTTATGAGAGGTGAAAAAAATAAAATAAATCAGGCTTGATGCAGGTTTTTGGCCTGAGAATTCAGAAACCATGTCGGGCTGGGCCAGGCCGAGCTGGGGCGCCATCCCCTCAGGCCAGGGCTGGCTTGGGCCAAGATAATAGACCTGTGCAGGGCTCTAGTGGTCTGGGAGGGCCATTTGGTCTGATCTCACTTTTCAATATAATTTTCTATATGGCAAGGCACCCACTCAGTCCTTCAGTCTTAATCAGTGGTCAACCGTGTCAGAAGAAATACAAATCTGCTTTATTTACCTCCTCATTGTGTATAAATTAGCCCATCGGTTGGATACATTTCGAATTGATTCCTTACTCTATAAAAGTTATCTCATCGTGTTTATTTGATATGTTGATTTGCTGTTTTCCATTTATTTTTACCAATTCTCTCCATTGTATTGTTGCTCTAATAAAAGCTTGCAATAACATTATACAGGAATGTGTCTTTAATGAATGCAACAAAAGTCATGTTGGAGCTTTATACACATTTGTTTAAAAGGAAATAAATATGGAAACTTCATTTTTGAAATTTTGCAGCTGTTTTCCCTTGTCAGTACACACTTAAAGTTGTTTTTTAGAGGAATGGAACTGTGTCTCCTGGAGGAGGTCTGTGCTCTTCAAATGCTTTTCTTCTTATATATAGCAAACATATTTGCATTATGTTATGATTTCTTTCACACTGATATGTTTAACACAAACGCATGTGTTACTTCAAATGAAATGAAACAAAGGTTTTGTTGTTGTGTAAATATTACATCTTTAAAAAAATAATTTTGAGTGCAATTGCCTACTTTTTTAATGGGCTCTTGTACACATTTTGTTGATTATCTGTTGACACTTGTAAATTAGTTTCTGTGTGAATTTGACTGTTGTCTGCAGTGTAACGTGCTTAGTGCTGCTGAGTGTAAGTGAGTGCTTGGCCCATCCCTGGAGAGCGATAGCAGCTGGATCAGACTAATCTAATACTGGTCCTGTGTCTGGGGAGCCATCCATTGCTTATCAAATCTCTCATTCAATAACAGAAAGCTATGCCAGCTTATGGAGTTATTCTGTATATGGTTGTGATGTGTTTTGTTGTTTTGGTGATGTGTGATCTCCTTGTTGCAGATTCCATGGACGGCTGCTCCACAGACTGTAATGGGAATGGAGAGTGCGTGGCCGGACACTGTCACTGCTTCGCTGGCTTCCTGGGTCCAGACTGTGCCAAAGGTAAGGGGAATGTCAATAAATAAGTCAAGCAAGCAGATGTCTAATAGTGTTTGTAAAGTGGTTTGAAATGTGAAATCCTAAGCAGTAGTCTGGAAAGCCAACAAGCCAACTTCTACCTTTATCAATCGTCATTGGAAAGAAAACAGTCTTTGCTGTTTCCAGTGACAAACTGTAAATACTGTTTTTTACACTGAGAGAAAGGTATATTGTTTTGCTCATCGAATATTATAATATAATAATATATTGAATTTGTATTTACAAGAGCGCCTCAATGATTGTTTATCCTTTCTGATGGTAAAGCTGCCTATTATTATTGGCAAAAAGTCTGTAATTTCTGTTCCTTCCTGGGCTGCCTTGCATGAACTGCACATTTGAGCTTTCTTCATATCGTCTCAATTATGCCATGATTTGAATCTGAATTTGAATTTTGTGATTATTTTATATTATAAGGCTTCACACAACCAATAACAATAAGTAGAAACAAGTTTTTGAGTTATCATTTATAATCTCTCAAATTTGTCCAAAACAATTAAATGAAAGGGTGTGTAAACTTTCAATCACAAGTATACAAAGAGATGGCTCCTATATGATCAAATGTGTTTGTTCAAGCGCAAAACCACATGCAATGTCTTGTGTAATGGGCAGTGGCTCAGTGGTGGTTGACTATTCACTCATAATAACATCAAGGTTACAGAAGGGATTTATGTTTTCATTTGTGTGATTGCATTAAAGGGAAAACTTTCAGTGTTCAAAAGTGACCAAAAAAGTAGTATAAAGTTGTGCCAGTAACAGTTCAGGAATACGGTTGACTGCCAGTTGTCCAAAAGCGTTCCAAATCATTTTTCATAAAACATTTTGCTCAGCCTAGAGACAACTTTGTTCCCTATTTTTACTTGAAGTGTCACTTGTGTATTGTGAAAATGTTTTGCCTTAAAACATTGCATTTACTTTATCAAAACGGCGTTCCATTCTCTGTCTGTCTGTAGTTGCTCTTAAAACACACTTCTCGAATAGCCCGAGAGAACAAGAGCTGTACCACCACAATGTAACTGTCTGATGTTTTTATTACAGTTTTTGGGCGAGTTTTAGGGTCACAAAAAGAAATATTCAGCGCCAGGCTTGAAGAAAGTAGTATAAGTCTATTGTTTGGTTTGGTATTTTAATAGCTTTTTGACAATAAGCGGAAATTCAAAATGAATTCTTCCTTTGCAAGCACAGTAGCGTTTTATCTTCACAGCTCAAGTTGCTTTTCATCCCAGTCGCTCCCTTTTCCCCTGCTTTCAGTTGCCTTCGTGTAAACTTATTGTAGCTGTTATCTGTCTCGTGGTGTCGTACCAGGTGATATCACAAATCTCATCATTTATTTACGCTCATCACTTATTCATATGCACATCTCATATCTTCTCATTTACCGTGTTATAATATTCACCAGTGGAGAAGTTAGACAGCAAGTTAGAGCAGAGTTATAACAAAGAAACTAAATTTATTATAAGACCGAGCTAGTTTTTAACAAAAGATCAAGAGCATCATATGCAACTGCAAGGTGGCTTGAATACTTCTGAGCAAATTATGCAGGGTGGTGTCCTGAAATCAATTCAAGGCTGGAGTTGCCATAGTCACAAGGAATGTGCAAGTTTTTATAAGTTATATGAAAACTAGACCATTTGCAAAAAAAAGTAAAATTAGAAATTAAAGCCTCGTACCAGAACTGCTGTAATAACATACATAAAATATTGAAACTATGAATATTATATTGATAGATACAGGTAGCTGTAATGGTTCAGGGTCACATGAAAAGGCACCCATAAAAAATGCATACAAACATACGTACAAATATATCTTCAAACATACACACCTAAAGGTTGTGCAATTATTGAGCTTAGTGACAAAACAAAATTTCCCTGGAAATCATAAAAACTCCTTTGTGTGGATTAGTCAATGTCCATATCCTTCTAATACCCATGCAGTTTATTAAAAAGATAGAAGTACAGTTTTAAAAAAGTAAATACAGTCATTTTACAGCCTTTTTTCTAGATAGGAAAGCCTTAGGTAGTCCTTTTATCGGCCATTGAAGTTCCATAGAGTGCGGTATAGGTGGACATGTGAAATCCATAAAATGCATTGGTTTTTGCAGACTCCAGGCTACGCTAAGCATCATAAACAAAAAGTATCAGCGCACACACAGTACAAGCGAAATACATTTAGCCACACTTTTTTTCCCCTCTCTGCACCTGCATTGTTGTCATTACATTACCAGAACACTCTCACTTTCACTGAATGGAGATAGCTCTTGCCTTGCTCCTCATTCTTTAAAGCCCTATAATGCTCTCTACCCTAATCTCCCGTTTTCACGATTGTTTTCACGGCCCGTTCGGAGCGGCCGAGGTGACGTCGAGGGGGATTTTCTGCAATTCCTGGGTTGCTGTGGTAGCCGGGCTCAGGTGGTGCTTGAGTAAATTGAAACAGCGTGAGGGATAAAGACGTCCGTGTGTGTAAGTGCGCTTGCATTAGTGTTTGTGGGAGAGTCTAGAGGTAGAGAAACAGAGGAGAGAGTTTGAGGATTTGCTGAAGGTGCATAGATAAAAGAGTGCGGACCCTTTGGCGGTGGGACGTGCTGCACCAGCTGTTCGCCTATCTATGTTTTTTTTTTTCCCGTTGCAGATTCGTGCCCTGTGCTGTGCAGTGGTAATGGTATGTACGAGAAGGGCCGCTGCGTGTGTCTGCCCGGATGGAAGGGGGCTGAGTGTAATGTGGAGGAGGGACAGTGCATCGACCCCACCTGCTCCAACCACGGCTCGTGCATACAGGGCATATGCATCTGCAGCCCTGCCTACAAAGGGATCAACTGTGAGCAAGGTAAAAGTATGCCCATTCAAACCTGCGTCAATATCAGCCGCAGTACGAATACACAGCTACAGACATTGTACACAGTTTGTCCAACACAACAAATGCATGATGCCAAAATGGTTCACCATATGGTTGCCTAAAAAGGTGCTAACAACTATCAGCTGTACAAGTGTTGACAATTTTCAATATGGTCATTTATCTTTTAACATGGCTGAAATAACTAGCACATTCAAAATTAACAGGACTCTCTTCAGGGTAGGGCAGCTTTCAATATCATTGTGTCTTACATTAAAATTGTCACAATCTCTCTTGCGTTTCTGTGTGGGACAAGTCCACGCATTCACTAGTTGTCTCCTGAGTAACTTACATGGGCCTGATTTAGAATGCATATCCAGTGTTCTTCACCCTGCCTTGTTCTACATATTCCAATTTATATTACCAACTGCTTTAAGAACATTACAGATATATGTCCAAGTTTATGGAATTAAGTTCATATTCATTAATAATATCAGACCCCCGTGGCCAACACAGTGTCTTTATAGTCTACGTTATAGGCCTACGTTGCTTTAACAGAAGTGTTTTAAAGCTGCAGCATGTTGAAGTCCCTGATGGAGATGGTAATGTGTGTAAGTAATGGCGTATGAATGACAGTGTGGGTGTAGCCCTCTAACATGTATCAGTCTGCTGCTGCACAGGTGTTCTCTATTAGAAGCTAATTAGCTCCGCAGTGGCAGATGTTAGCAGAGTCGCTAGTTTCCAAACTGAAAGTATTTTTTGGAAGTTTTGATACAACTTTTATTTCAAGAAAACTATTCTCACATTTGATAAGAGCTGTAGCAGTTCAGGAGGTTTGTGTGGTATAAATGCCACAATATGACTTAATAGCATAGGCTACACTGGCTACGGTCGATGCTGGGCATGGACATCCTAAAACATGGAGCTAAGTAAGACGTTTGCAAAATCAATATTTACTGAACATTAGTGCAACAAACTATTAGTGACGATTGGACAGTGTTGCCAACTTAGCAACTTTGTCGCTAGATTTAGCGACTTTTCAGACCCTATAGCGACTTTTTTTCAAAAAAGCGACTAGCGACAGATCTAGACAAAGCATTAAAATCATTAAATGTTGTTAATGTTGAAATTATTTGTGTACATTTGTAGTTCTAAACATATTTAGGGTGTTTTTTACTCACTTTTGTCTCTCCCACGACGTTATTCCTCTCTCCTACAGCGTCCGTTACAGTTATTTGCAAATAGCCAATTATGCAAATTAGGCGATGACGTCATTTAGCGACTTCTAGCGACTTTTGGGACAGCCAATAGCTACTTTCCTTACTGAGGAGTTGGCAACACTGCGATTGGATGATTAAAGAGGTGCTGGACAAAGTTTACTAGGATTGATGTGTTTTGATAGTTGTGTTAAAGTTAAAGTAAAGTTATAAAGGTTGGTAGATCAGGGGACATTCTGATGTTGCAAATTAGCTAAAGCTAACAACATTAGCAAAACTTCCCACAGAAACAAAACTTTGTTAATAACAAATAAAACAAAAAATAAACGAAAAACAAAAGCATGTTTTGTTTGGAGTTTACGTTGTTATACTTGCATTTATATACAGAATAAGTTTCTACTGTTTTGATTTTGACTTTTGACAGGCGAAGCTGATAAAAAGGTGAATTGTCGCCCAGACAATGTTCTTTATATTCTTATTTTTCACAAATGATTTTAATGTTTAAAAATTGTAACGTACAGTCCTTAATGTAAATGATTGCCACATCATTGTTATGTCATTTCATAAGTAATGCCAACATACACAATAACAACCCAGAGCTGAATCATGAACTGTCATGGCAGAAAGCTATCTGTGATTTATAACCTTGTCTAGGAGCAGCATGTTTTAAAATGGTTGCACAATAAAAGCTGACATTTCTCAATGATTGGAAAATGCAGAATACAACGACATGAAGAGAAAAAATATTCCTCATTGAATTAATCCCTTTTAAGCATAAAACAACAGGCAGCACTGGCTCGCTAATCTCATGCACCTACGGTCTAATTAAAACCTTGGCATTGATGCTATCCCACTTGCAGCGCTCTATTATAAAAACCAACCAATAAATTAACAAACATAAACAGATATATATCTAACAGGCGCATCCCAGCCTGATCAGAGTCCATCCTGCAATGCTCTGTCGCCTCCGGCCCTTTAAGCGTCTGCAGGGACTGAGTCAGTTGCTTTGACCTTGAGATGGAGCGGAGTTGAACTGTGCTGAGCTTTGGCACGGCATTCAGGGCTGTAATTACACACAGTCAAACCATGGACCTCATTTACACACACGCATGCACACACACACACACATAATATAACCACATCCACATGGAGTTTGCATCAAAAGCCTTAGCCTAAGTGTCCTATGAAGTGTAATGTGGTGGAACCGATACAGGGATTGTGGCTAGGGTGGTTAACTCCTGGATGGGATGCAAAGAACACTGCTTTCATACTCGCTGAGCTGCGGATTATAATGAGACAGCACCCTGACGCCCCACTGCACCCTTTCACTCTTTTTCAACAAACGTCCTCACTCTCTCCTTGACTATACCTGGTCTAGAATAAGATGTTAGTGTCTGTTTATACATTATTATAGACACTTGAAATGGAATGCAAACAATCAGACAAAATTCTATCAATTTTCTTCAGCTGTCAGCAGAAATGACAAAATTGTTTGAAATATTTTATCCAGGACTCGAATCTTACTGGAAAAAATATACTCTCTGTACACTTTTTACTGTTGTCTTCCACAATTAATAAGTTTTTAAAATGAAGTTTTTACAGCATGAGGCATGAATTCTGAATGTTAAAGTGTGGATTTCAGTGATTTTTAGTGCCATAGACAAGCACATCCATGGCGCTAAAAAACATCACACAATAATTGCACAGTTTAACGTTCTGTTTTCGGTCATTTTACATAACATTGGATCATTAGACTATCTTTCCTTGGCGGCCCGGTTTGTATGTCCCAAGGTCCGGTACCAATATGTGGACCAGGGGTTGGGGACCACTGGTGTATACTGTACCTTTTGTATATTTGATCGCGAGAGGTACATTTTCAGCATTTGTTGAAAAATATCTTGCATCCAAACAGTGACTTGGATAACCTTTGAGATTAAATCAGTTGCTCACTGGCCATTGCACATATCCTAAAAATGTAATCTAAATCCTCCCATATTGTTTTGAGTTATGTTTCTCACAGTCAAACAGACAATCGCTGGTTATCACTTTACCTCTTTGGCAGAAGTATTGATATTAGGTCATTAAGCATCAGTCTTTTTTGTTGTGAAGTTGTTTTTCTGGAATGTTGTCTGTAAATGTGCATGAAACAATAATAAATATTCTCCAAAATATTAGAATACTGTAAAAAACATAGTCAAGTGAGTTAATGCATCATGTGTGAAATGTTCTGACATCATTGCACCTGTATTCAGTGACACCAATCCACGGAGCTTTGTTCTTTTGTTCCCCCTGATTCTGATTTGGTGTGTTGCGCCGACATTGCAACACCTGCTGCTATGTCGACACATTATTGGAATGAAAATAGTGAGATTGTGTTTTAAATCCATATAAAGAAAATTATAATCATATTCTCTTGCATAGAAAAGTTTGTAATAAAAATAAAAAAACATTTCTAACCCAAACTCATTGTGGGACATAATCCTCTTGTAATCCACGATGTATAACAGCCATCGCTTTCTCCTTTTCCAGGTGGCATGGCAACTGTTAAACCATTGTGCACAAAGGCATATAAATATGAGTATGTCTTTTTTTTTCAGCAGACAGCAAGCCAGTTTGTTAGCAGCAGATTTTAAGGTGTCAAACAGCTTTTTCTTCTAAAATCAAAAACAATTATGTGCTTGTTGTTTGTATCACATTTACACAAGTCAAAATAGTGATCCTTTTGCCAGGGGTTATGGGTAAAACCTTTCTGACAAAAGGATTTTCAAGCAAAAGAATGTTACCAAAGGTTTCTAGTACATTGATTCAAATGTTAATTTTGTGTTCTTTGATAATATCTTTATCTTCTAGCAGCTTTTGTCTTAAAATAGCTAAAATACACATTACCCATTGATGCACATCTAAACTTTTTTCTCTAATATAAAGTGAATGGTGATGTTGCATGAGATGACATTGAGATCCATTTTTTCTTTGTAAAGCTCTTGTTTCCTTTGATACAACCGTGGGGCATTTCAGGCAGAGCAAAACTTCTCCATGGAGATGAGAAGGTACAGCCCCTCCATCTTTAACGTGTTGTTTGTGGTGTGTGTTTCCAGTGGACTGCATAGACCCCCAGTGCAGCAGTCACGGCGTGTGCGTGCGCGGCGAGTGTGTGTGCCAGGCTGGGTGGGCTGGCCTGAGCTGTGACGACCCTCTGCCCGCCTGTCAGGAGCAGTGTTCAGGACATGGTACCTACCTGCCAGAGACCGACTCCTGCACCTGCCAACCCAACTGGACTGGCCCCGACTGCTTTACCGGTGAGAGCTCATGCATAACAAATTCAGAGATCAACTACTTTAAACCAAACAAACTTTTTCACCTGAAAAAGTCCTCAGAATGTTGCATAAAACAGGAAGATGAAAACCAGTTATGGTGACTTTTGAGCCACACCCTTATACTCATTAGATAGATCCGTTCATTTGGCTGGGAGCTAAAAAATGTTTTCTAAAATATGTCCATGTTGTTTGTCACTACAGAAAGAAGAAAACTATCGTAAATAGAAGAGATGGCGATATGTCTCTTTCATATTATTAAAAATATTATATTTTATTGTAAAATAGCACAGAGCTTTGGACTGAGAGCTCAAAATAATGTCCCTGCATATTTTTTACTTTTCTGCCTGAAAAAACAGATCCAAAGATGTGACATTTTTATTTTATTTAAAAATGTGGTACCCCAGCTACTAATTTATCAATCAATGTCAGATCCATGATGTCAGATCCAAGAAAAGGCATCGTACATCCAACAAAAGACACTCAACTTGTTTCAAACCTTTCTACTACAAAGTAAAACATGCAAAATCTCAGCCAGCATCAGCCTGCCTCCTACCTTCAGGAGGATTCATGTTCATACAAAGATATGTGTGTAAAAACACTGTAAACCTCACATTAGTGAGTGTGCACGGTGTCTGCATATGTCGCGCGGTTACTGCCAGCAAACGTTTAGTGTGGATTTGATCGACATGAGAGGCGCGTGGACCAAAGCCACTCCAGGAAATGGCTGCGTGTTTGTGCACTTTTCATGCTGCCTGTAAATGAGATTTCCCCTCATGACTAGTGACGACAGAAGCGTTTTCTGGCTCGCTCGCCCCCTCCCTCTGCCCCAGGCTGCATCTCCCCCTCTCGTTCTTTCTCTTTGGATTCATACTGTAATGCACATAGAAAGCACATATATGACATACACACATACCTGCCTCGAAGCTAAAATGGGAAAAGAAAGGGTAATTGATCGGAAAGAAAAATACTTCTGTTTTACTGCAAGGCTTTTAAGGAACAACTACACTCAGGAACATTTAGCCTGAGCCATTTTAAAGCCTGCTCTATAGATGTGTGTATTAGTGTGCATATAAATCTTTTCACTTTCAGCTTTTATTCTCAAAGCATTGTGCGGCGCAGTTGTTAATATTACAGTTTAAGTGACTGTGAGGAAAAGGTAGTATGTTAGTCACTTTTAAGGGCATATATATTTAGCAGGAGGATAGTAATTTGAAAAACTGTGAAGTGGTACTTTCTGGGTGGATAGTGCCCTTGTCCTTGCCGTGTACCCTGACAAGAAGGAAAATAGCTATTATCGGCGATGTCGCTCTAATGCTTTAATACTAGGGTGAGGCCAGAGTCGCTGTACCATGCAAACCAATGCTTCAGAGCACTCAGCATTAGTGCGCTCCAGGTGTGTTCATGGCTTATTAGGGTGATGCAGGCGTGATGATAGGCCATGGTAAGTATGTGAGAAATGAAAGACCTCCCAAAACCTGTGGGGCTTTTTATCGGAAAAGACCTGGTCATTTTGTGTCCCGGCCTTGTAGAAGCAGAGCTAAACTAATGTAATTCTTACGGAGACGCTGAGAATCCTCCAACTTGAATCCACCCTCTCTCCATGTACGATGTATATTTAAATTGAAATAACTTTTTTTTACTGCAGTATAAGTGTTCTCAAAGTGCCTGCAGCAGTTTACTCGCTTTACTGATGAATGAGGCTTTTCTTGTGGAAAAGGATGTAAAGGATGAGTGGAAAGATGGACTGGCAAAAAGAAAAGATGGTTTTACACAAAAATGATGAACAGAGAGGCAGAGGCAGATTGAAAATAGATGAAGCCAAAAAGAGCGCATGGGTGTTAACATACCTCCAAATCTGATCAAAATGTCAAGAGGAAATAATAGAGTGGGATCAAAGTCCCTGTAGTTCAAATATGTGCTGCAAATACAAATCATTTAGCTGTTATTATGAGCCTGTGTGCTCATCTGCTCTTCTGGGAGCTTGCCTATTAGAGGTGGGAAGATTATGTATTGTGAGAAGAAGACTTTTTGTCTCTGCGGTTATCTCCTTCTATCACTTGTTTTTTTTTTTCTTCTTCTCTTACTTAAATCCAATATCTCGCCCCCAATGCAGATAGTTTTCTCTGGCGATTTCCCTTGTGCCTCTTTTACCTCTGCCTTTCTTCCAAAGCTCAATGCTTCCATCTGCTCGCCTCCGTCTCACTCACGTCTCTGTCCCTCCCACCTGTTCGCAGAGCTGTGTCCCGTGCCATGTGGCAGCCATGGCGTATGCTCTGAGGGCCAATGCCAGTGTGAGGAGGGCTGGGTCGGCGCCGCGTGTGACCAGCGCTCCTGCCACCCGCGCTGTGAGGAGCACGGCCAGTGCCACGATGGGACGTGTGTGTGCCAGCCCGGCTGGGAGGGCGAGCACTGTAACATCGGTGAGCCTTGAATATTGTCTTTGTGATGAGTGACAATTGCATTTTAATGTGCTCTTTTGTTTGTCCATAGTCACTCATGACCTGGACGTGGTTGTAAAAGGTAATTCAGTTTGATTTAACACATTCTACCCCACAAGCCTTAATCTTACTAATGATTGTCCACCCCTGTGTCAGACGGCTGTCCTGGGCTCTGCAGTGGACACGGGCGCTGTACGCTGGAGCAGAGCGGCTGGCGCTGCGTGTGCCAGGCCGGTTGGAGTGGGCCGGGATGCAGCGTTGTCATGGAAACTGACTGCAGTGATGGAACAGACAACGACGGAGGTGACACTCAAGCATCATCTATCATTTTCACTCTTTTTACTCTTTCCTTTTTGTAGCTCTGGCAGATTGTCCATTTCGTCCCATTACGTCTCCTCCTGTTCCTCTGGCCAACAACACAAAAACCCTCCATTGTTCCCATACTCTTCATCCCTGTGTGCTGTCCCGGCCCTGCAGAGACCCCTGTAGAGCTCTGCTAGTCATTATTACATTGACTATGTATCTATGTGGCATTGTCGCTCTGTTTTTCCTCTTATCACAGCTAAATGTCTAATATGCATAACACCTGCTAGGATAAAAGCTAGCCAGAAGAAATCTCACAACTCTAAATACAGCCAGCCAAGCAGAACAGATCTGTGCTTCTTTGAAGGCGTTTGCTGACAGGTGACATGTGCAGAGCTGCAAAAGCTCCCAACATGAGACGGGTCAATCAACAGGACCTTCAATTATTCCTCGATCCTATTTCATTTGAAAATGTATTGCTAGTTTAGATTCAGATTACTTGCCATTTGCAGTTTAAAACCACGTTGAATTACACAATGAATCAAAACATTGTGCACCAGAGACAACAATATCAAAGCACTGTTACAACAGTTGTATATAAAAAAATAATCCAAAAAAATGTATAAAATACATTCACAATAAAGTGAAAGACAAACCGTGAGAGAGCTTAAATCACTCTAAAAACAGCTTGTGGGACGTAACTGTGAGTGTGGCCAGATGTTTAGCATAGCTTATAGCTGCACCTCAAAGCTCAAATGTGATTTGATACAATATAGTCATATTGTTTTTCCAATGTGTGGTACGTTTCATTTTCAGTGGAGTTTGAATATCAGAAAGCCTGAATAACAGGGGAAATGTTTTTAGTGATTTTTGAAAGCAGGTAAAAAACCTGTTTATTTTTCATCCCTGAGATTATTTACCAAATCTGTTGGCACAGAACGTTCAACACTTGACAAGTCGGCAAAGATGGTTACTCCCAACATGAAATTACAGGTTCTTGTACGGATTACAACCTCAACCACAAAGAAAACTGTGTTCAACTTCACTGTGCAAAAAGAGAGACAGCAACCTGGCAACCGCAATAATTAATCTTTTGTTTTCCTTTTATTGTTTCATTAATATTATGTGTTCACTTGTGGCTTAACGGATAAGAATAAACAACAAAGTGCCACACAATGTTGACCTAACAATGCCTAGAAAAAGCGTTTTGTAAAGCTAATTTGGTTTCTATTAATGCTGCATGCAAATGGGAATTCAACCGCTTCTTTTTTTTGTTTCAAAGAGATTTAAGTTTTCCTTTAACCAAAAAAAGGTCACTTTACTTGTCACAAAGTGCTGCCAAGTACTGTCAAAAATAATTTCATGACTCACTTTTGGGGGAGATTTATGGACTCTGAAGGCTTAATGATGTTACTGTAGAAGACTTTCTTTTGGAGTTTGAGAAAGCATTAGTGAGAACAAAAGATGTTATTGACTGCCATATGGGAGGGTGTATTTTTGGACCCTGGCCCAGACAAAGGATCAAAGATTTTGACTTTGTAGGTGTCAACTTGTATTGTCAGTTTCGGTCAGCAGTCATTCTAATTTGACATGTACTTACTTTTTTTTAATTGTTTTAATAATTCATTAGCATTAGTTATATTTCCATGGGGGCGACAGTAGCTCAGTTGGTAGAGCATTGGCCTTTGAGCCTGAAGGTCGTGGGTTCAAGCCCATCGTAAGACCTACTTCACGACTCCCACTGATGACTGCTGTTGTTGTGTCCTTGGGCAAGACACTTAACCCCACTTTGCCTGAAGCTCTCACTGAAAGATCTCAGCTCCTGTGGACTCACCACCTGCAGGAGGATCAGTGAGGGGCTGGTGCTAAGTGTACTGGGTGGCATCTCTGGCCACCCCCCCGACCCAGAAATGGATTAAGGGGAAGAAAATGGATGGATGGATGGATATTTCCACCGTCATGTCATGTGTACACATACAGCCCGTTACAAGCACTTCTCTATCCCACAGAAGGAGAAATAAGCTCAAAATGCGGGCATCAGTGGCAGAGCTAGACTTTAAAAATAGGATTTATCTGGGTTGGCAATACACAGACTACCTGATCTCTACCTGATTTTTATCAAAGAAAAGTCTTTGATATATCACCATTTATTTTCATTACGCTGTTCCTATTCAGAGGTGTTCCCACCTCCACACCTTCTCCACCGACTCCCACTGATGACTGCTGTCGTTGTGTCCTTGGGCAAGACACTTAACCCCACTTTGCCCAAAGCCCCCACTGAAAGATCAAGGCTATGCTCACACTCAGAGAGCAGCCGTCCTCCTGTGGACTCACCACCTGCAGAGGGTCAGTGAGGGGCTGGTGCTATGAGACTTGGGTGGCATCTCTCATTGCCACCCCCCTGACCCAGAAATGGATTAAAGGGTAGAAGATGGATGGATGGATGGATGTTCCTATTCAAAGGAAAGCTTGTTTACGTTGCGCGTAGAAATAAGCATTTAGTACAATTGTATACATTGATAGAACAACTACATTTAACCATATTAAACTCTATTGGACATCAAGAAACATTGCTTACCACTGATGTATTGTACACTAATTGTACACTGGTACTAAGGTACCAGTACTAAGTACTAAGTACTTAGTACCAGTACTGGTACTAAGAACTGGTACTAAGAGTGGCCACAGGTAAAAGTAGTAAAAAAGTAAAGTTGCGTTATGAAAAAAAAAGATGGCATTGATATTGATTTACGTTAACCCGATAAAAACATATTTTGGACAGCACTAATGCATCTAATTATTACTTGTCAGAAAATGAAATGCTTCTTGACAAAGTTTGGTGGTCCAGTCTCCTCTTATCTCCTGTACCTGCCTTTCGGATGCTTTCATTTTCAATCAGGACTCCATGGACGTCCTGTCTAATTGGATGATACTATACTGCAGCTCTCATATCACTCTACCTCAGCAATCTCTTTGTCTCTGGAGATCGGCCTGATAAGACACTATCACTGCCACAGAGAATAATAAAAGACTTTGAAAAGAGTTTCCATCACTGTCTAAATGGCAGAGGAGGATATTTTGATTGGGGAAAATTGGTCTTATTTTACAATCTACACGCTCATCACATGTCAATAGCCTTGTATAAATCACTTCAATCTGTCACATGTTTATGAAAAAATAGTGAATTATTGATGCTTTCATGCTAAAATAGTGATTATTTGAAATTATTGCTCATTGGTGAAGCAGCACCCACATATGTGCAGGGAGGGATATTGCTGGCCTTTATTTCCTGGTCTGTGGTCAGCATTTAAATGTCAGCAATGTAACGTGGCTTTTCAGAAATAGCTCTGAAAATAGAAAGCACTGATAGCAGTCAAGCTTCTGTTGTATTTGATTTGGATATTGAATACATTGGATCCAATATAGTAACTATTACTACTACTAATGATTCATAGTAACAGTATATGGAGTCTTGTATTACCATATCCAGTGTGTTAATTACATACATAAGGTGATATTGAGCTATAGTACAATTATCTACCATTTTTTTGTGACTTGACAATTGACAAAATGGTTGGATTGGAAACGTCTAGTCATGATCTTTGCACCTGGTAACTATTACAGTTCGATTCACCTGTTTATTCTTTCTCTTATGCACACATCCACACACAAGTACACACTCTCTCACACACACACATACCCAATTTAAGTTATTTGTATCACCTCAAATGACCTGTTTGTGTAATTGCACCACCTCGTCTGTGCATGGTTGCCTTTGTTTACACTGGGGCTCTATGGGCGACTTCTTTGTGTTGTTACTGACTGCAGTTTGATTAACAACTAAAATGGATGGGATAATTGCCTGCTGATGGCTTCTAATTAATCCTATTTGATTGAAACTTGATAATGATGATAAATGTGCTGGTCATTGTCGCAAACTTGGACAGTTACCCATTGTAGAGGTGGGAATGTTTTTTTGGCATTTGTAGATTTGTGACCATTATTAGTCTCTTTGCAGATCTTCATAGCAATCATTCAACCTTGAAACATTGTCAAAGTTCCATCTTGTCATGTTATAAACTGTGAAAAAATAAATGTTCTAAATTAGCCTCATAATATGTATATTTTATGGACAGTCTTTTCTCCAATGATGAGAGGAGCATTCTAAAGTCATGTCTGTGATGAAGACAAACCTTGTTGTATCTGTATCGTCCACTCCAGCCAATTTGTTTATCTCCCTTTATTAACCCTAACCCTAATATAACTGTTCTTCTCAATACTTTGACATTCCTCTTCTTTCTCATTGTTCACCTTTTTCACATATAATTTAGGATATTTTTGTTTTGAAAAAATTGGTATTGTGTTAATGTGACATCAAAAATTCCAAATAACCTATTTTTAAATGGTGGTGGGTAGTTGAGAAATCTCTCCTGGATAATATGGATAGCTAATTTATTTGCAATTCCTGGGTCAATCATTATGGAACAAACTGTCACAAATTTGACATTTATCAGTATTGTAAAGTACTGCGGTCTAATTATCCACCACTATGGGTGTCTATAATGGTGACAGTATTGAAAATAATATATGTCTGATACCAGTTGTAAGGACTTTCAGAAATGAGAATAACATAGCAGGTTTATGGATCTAATTACTATTTACTAACAGTGATCTTGAGTTTTGTTGCCCTGCCAAACAATATAGAATTCTATACATTGGACTCAAAACCTATTGCAAAACCAAAATTAAAAATTAAAGAAATATGATAGCATGGCAAATGTAATAGTTTTTCTGTTGTCAGCTTTTCAGGATAAAGCGACATTTTAGTGATTTTGAAAAGTAAGAATCATGTCAAACCTCCATTGTACAACCTCTTGAATTGCGTGAATACTGACACATGCTTTCCCTGCAGATGGGCTGACTGACTGTGTGGACCCAGATTGCTGTGAACAGTTGAGCTGTGGTTCTGACCCTCTGTGCCATGGCTCCTCTGACCCCCTGGCCCTGCTACAGCAGAGCCCCCTGCCCCCCACCGGCCCCACCCACAGCTTCTACCGCCGCATCCGCTTTCTCCTGGGCAAGAGCGCCACGCACACCCTCCCTGGAGAGGTGCCCTTTGATACCAGGTATGTGGAGTGCGTCCATAGATGTGTCTTTACTATTTGAACAGCATGTCCTTGAGCTATCCTACTCGTAAAGACATGAGAAAGACAGAAGGGAGTGAGTCAGTTCAATGTAGAGCAGGTATGTTTTGGCCAGTGTTGATATACTCCATGTTAATTTCCAAAAATCTAAATTATTTATATTTTTAAGGGGAAAATATCTCAAAGTCACAACTGACATTATAGTAAAAATCACAAACACTTTTCGACTGATTAAGTCCGATGAAGACCTAATCAGCCGAAACGCGTCCGTCGAAAGTCGGTTGTGCCTCGGACTTTTTTTTCCTCTTTTAACATTGTGCTTTTGCATCTTGGATCCTGAGAAGCAGCTGATTCGTTTACCCAACCCACAGTAGCGCTCACTGTTCCTCTTACCTTATTTCTATTTTTAGTTGGAAGTAGAATCAATTTTAGGGCAGTACAAAGATTATAATCTAATCGAAATCCCTTTTTGTCGTCGCAATAAGTAAATCTTATCAACTGAAATTATTAAAGTTTAAACATCAAAATAAGATAAGCCACAAGCATCTGTGATGTAATCTGTCTTGTTGTTTGGCAGAAGTATTATTTGTCAACCTTTACATAATTAATTAAGCCAAGAGGTGTAGCACATAGGTAAATTTGTGTAGATATGTTAAATTATCTAACTTAAGCTTTTGGTAGCTTATGGTTGTACTATAAGTCAGTCATACAGTTTGTGAAATATGTAGGGTTTGTGCATCAGGGAATCGCTTCCTATAGTGTACGCTCTTTGTCACTATTGAAGTTGTTGCTTTTACGTACAATGTAACTAACAGATTTTGGAAGCCGCCTCGCAATCACATGGTTGGTCAAAAATATTGCAATTCGATATTTTGCCAAAATCATACATCAATTGTTATCATTATACCACAATGACAATTAATTTATTCTCACACAATTTTGAATGGGTGATTCATTTGTCACATGATTCTTGCTCCACTTATAATATTACTTTTACTGGTTTGGACTATCCTTCATCTGTCCTTTGTGGAAATACACGATAGCTCGTAATGGTGTTATCAGTCGTTTGTGCTAAAATCGTCCCTGGTTATCATTGGTGAAATGACAATGCATGCGTGAGGCTGTGAACAGGCTCTTTTATGTGGACTCATGTCTGGGCGCACAAAGGGGTAATCCACGCTCCTCCTGGGACCTCCGCTCTAAACATTGTCCTTCAGAGCCGCGGACCACTGTTTGTTTGTGCATTAATGCTTAATGTGTCATTCACTGACACCAGTTGTAAAGGTGTCAGCATCAATATTTCAGAGCCCACATCTCCCCACCGCCGTTGCTGCTGTGGAGGGCGTCCTAAAAACCTCAGATGGGAGAAGACAACAAATGCTTCAGCTTGTGTCTCAGTAAAATTGATGTCTTCTGACTCAAAGTCGTTTTCAGATACAATAAGAATGGCTTGCATAATGCTTTGCTGGGTAAATTTAGATTTTCTGTTTCAGTCCAGACTCAAACATTGTATCTTCAAAAAAATGTAATGTTAGCTCACATCTTACTATAAATAATGCTGGAAAACATTTGTAACATGGTTAAAAACATGATTTTTAATCTTAGAACTTTTCAGAAATCATTTTTGACAAGGACATATAGAATTTCAAGCTGGTTGACCTCAGAGAAGAGGTGGACAGGAGTGATGGATCATGTTTTTTTGTACCTATTTAAAAGTCGCTTAGTTCCCAGCTACAATAATAAATGAGCCCAATTTATTCCAAACAAATTATTTGTCAAAAATCAACGGCTCAGTCAAATTGAAGCTGTCAGACATTAATACAAGGTGTTTAATTAGTGGGTGTAATAAATAGAACAGTAACATTGCGTGATTGGTAAACAGACTCACAGTTGTGTCAGAAAGGTGATATAGCTGTTAACGTGAGTTCATTTATATATATATATATATATATTACAAATATAAAAAACAATACATACAAAGGTTGGAGAAGGCCTTTGCCCCAGAACCTCTGCTGGAATCTTCATCTACATGGTCATCAAAAAGGCTCCCCTCTTGAATCAACACACTAAGCTTATAATGGGAGCGTCAATGATTGGTCAACTCAGTCCTGTCCTTAAGTCCCAAAATGTTTTATGTGACCACTCAGGAGGGAAGATAGCAAGAAAGGACAAGTCCGTTCAAGTTCAATATGAAAAATATATGGCATCAATTACAAAATATGTGGTTAGGGTTAGTTGTGAAAATGTTTACTTTGAGGATTAAATGCGACCATAGCAGATGATGTAGGATACAGTTTCATCAAAGTGCTATCCCTCATCATTTCCTTTACAAAAAAAATCCCAAATCCCTCTGCCAGGGAGACATTATTTTCAGTCACAAATCCCCTTGCTCTATGAAAAATGACACTGAGAGCGCCTGTGGTCTATAATCGTATGTGATTCTTCAGCGCTTGCACTAATTGTTCACTCAGGCTCAGGACACTTCCTTTGGCAAAGTGAGAAAGATGGATGATGTTCTGTTTCTACTTGGTTACAGGGGTCTCTCAGAGCTGCCTCTGCTTCTCATCCAGCCTCAGTAACAGCATCAGCAAAGCCAGAGAAATGTCTTTCCCTGCTTTGTGTTGAAATTATAATCAGGTGACCAGTGATGGGAATAACGGCGTTACTAGTAACGGCGTTACTAGTAACGGCGTTACTAACGCCGTTACTTTTTTCAGTAACGAGTAATCTAACTAATTACTTTGACAGTAACTATAACGCCGTTATCATTTCCGACATCCCGTTACTGCGCGTTACTCAAGACGCAAAATGAACGTGTTGTCATGAGACAACGGAGGATGAGAAAACCTCTCAGCAATTATTGGCTGATGTAAATCATATTTCCTTTACAATCCACATGTCTACAGTTGAGAGGATGGCTCATAAATTGTGTTTTTGAAACAAATATGGGTCTTAATCGCGCTCAACCACGGCTTGTATCACCGTGAGGTCAGCCACAGAGGAGCGCATGTGAGCGCAGAAGTCGGCTGCATACAATTCCATCGATAAGCTCCTTGCTCTTCCTGGTTTATCTGCTAAGGACAGCAACAGGTTTGGCTAACATACATATAACACATTTTTACATAATCTAAAATGCACATAGGGTAATTTTTCAATTACTATAGGAATGATAAGAAAGAGAGGTGAAGTGTAAGACGGTTGATTTTAGAAATTGGATGCACTCGGCTGCCGCTAGCAAAACACAGGAGTTTATGGAGGACACACGCGTTTTGTTTTACTTTTTAAAACTCATTGGACTCATTTCCAAATGGAGGATTACATATCTACGCTCAAACCATTAACTGGATTTAAACAAGGGACTGGTCTGAACCGAAGTGGACTGTGCAGGTCATTTATAAGGTATAGCTATAAGGTAAGACCCATAACTCATAGTTTTGCGTTTTGTATGAACAAACAATGCGGGCATGAAACATATTTTGCTGAAGCCAAACAAATTGTCCACTTGATTTATATGATGTATATGTTCATCTGATTGGACTGAAGTCAGTGCTTCACCAGCCTCACCGCTCGTCACCGGTGTTTCCACATTCACAGTGGCGGGCTTTACAGCACAGTGAGAGATGAAGAGTGAGCAGGACTTCAGCAGCAAAACAGCCTTTTCTAGATGGAAATATTGGCACTGTTAAAGGTAAAAATGCACACGTCGGGTGCACATTATGTTCCAGAACAAAACGAAAAAGTAACGCAATAGTTACTTTTACTGGTAACTAGTTACTTTTATAGTGGAGTAACGCCGTTAGTAACTCAGTTACTTTTTGGGAGAAGTAACTAGTAACTATAACTAATTACTTTTTCAAAGTAACGTGCCCAACACTGCAGGTGACACACAGGTCAATTACTGGGTCTGACAAGAGACTTTGTAGTCAGTCCAATCCTAATACATACATGAGAATGCAGTTATTCAAAAGATTGGGAATTATTAAAGGGGAGCTCGACATCCAAAGCGTGTGCTATGGAGTTTCAGTTTTCCACCTACCTACCAAGTTGGTAAGGTAGTTATACTTTATTGATTGTGGGGAAATGTGTTCTCTGCGTGTGACCCATTCGACAATGCCACTATGGAAGTCCTTCTCAAATAGTGGGGCCCTCGGGGTGCAGTACGAGGCACCAAGGGGAACTTGCCATTTTTGTTGTGCGTACAAGAACGGGATTCCACATCTTCCCCTATTCACTTCGTTCTGATACTAGAGATCTTCTTTGTGCATCAGATCAACCCCACAGTTCAAAACGCTCTAAACAGGAAAGACAACAAGAAGAATATTCTTATTTCCAAATTAAATTCAGTCAGTGAGGGTTTTATATTGATCAGATTAATGATTGATTGATTGATTGATTAATGCAACGTGGCTTTAATATTCAGGCTCAGCACGATATAAACTCAATTCTGCCACATGTCACATATGTGGAAACGGGGAGCCCCTCAGAGTGGAGAGAGATGAAGCCAGGGGCCAGGACTGTTTCCTTCTTCATAAAGGAGGGCTGGTAAAAACTAATTGAGAAGCAGCACTTTTGTTACGACCCAGCTCAGCTAGGGTGAGGGAGGTAACAAATTAAAACCAAGATGTTCAATGGAAAAGCAAGTATTTAATAAAAGGCAAGTAAATGATAAGTAGACACAAATCAAAAGGGTACAATACAGGACATAACAGGGTAACTCAACGCTACCAAAGTAAACCCTACACTAAATCTTTACATTAATACACATAGAACTAAACACTAAACCTACTGTTGTCTCAACTGATGCGAAGTGTCACGAAAACAAAACCTCAAGGTGACAAATAAAAAGAGACAAACCAAAACAAAGCTATACGGACTCGTCTTTAGGTCATTGCCACCACTGTGACAATGACAGACAGCATAAGGACACTTGGCATACCAGCCACACACAGGCTGGCAGCCCCGAACAGGTGTGGAGTGTGGCCTTAAGTGCAGAGTGACTCCAGGTGGGGAAGCTGGATTGGCCAGGTGCACCGCTGCTCCTCCAATCAGCACCTGTGTCACGGACGTCTGGGAGGCGGGAGGGCCAGTGGTTCTCCAATCACAGGCCAGGGATCTTTACACAAGAGGGGTTGCCACACACGCACACACAAAATACAAAAACAGGGAGCACTATGTAGGCTCAGGGCCGTAACACTCTCCCCCTTAAGTTACAAAACATCCCATGTTTTGTATTCACCAAGTCTACAGTACTCACATGATGAAAGTAGTGAGGTGGGATTACGAACCCTGGTGGGTTGGGCAGGGCCCAGAACACAAGCCACCACGTTAGCTGCTCCAGCCCCTTGGAGTGAGCCAGGCATCCTAGGAGCCGGGCTCCACCCCAGTGTAAATGGAGGAGAAGACATGAACAGGGCATGAAATGGGCACAGTTGATCAGGCCGGACACAAATCACCCCTGAAACACGCCCTAAACGCAGGTTGCGAATGTCTGGACCGCCACAACAGCAGCCACCATCCTACCACCCAATCTACAAAACATCACTAAATTTCAAAAGCCAATTAAAGTACCGAATATCAATTTGGGCCAAATCACTTACCAAATACATACCAATTACTTTCACCGCTTTTAAGGGATAGGGTGTTTCGATCCCGGACGAGCCCCCACTTTTGTTACGACCCAGCTCAGCTAGGGTGAGGGAGGTAACAAATTAAAACCAAGATGTTCAATGGAAAAGCAAGGGAAACCTGTCAGAAGCATTGGCTTAGTAAGGAACACCAGAGATGAAGGATTTTACTTAGAAAATTGGAACTGGACCACCTGGAGGGACATGAACCCAGGACCTTCTTGCTGAAAAGTGAGCCCAAGAACCCTTTGTGTTTTTCAATTTACAATTGGGCATTCAGAATTTCCCTGCGTGCTATTTTCCTCAATCTGTATTTGAAAGAAGTGATCCATTGTTGAGAAAATGACGGCATGCTTTTTTCCTCTTTTACAATTGAGTGAACACATAGATTAATTAAAGCTTGTTGTTTTCAGAAAGAAAATCCATCACAGTTTTCTGTACAAGAGCAACAAATAGGACAATTGTCGGCCCCTAGTTATTACAGCCCTGCTCTTGGCTCATATGAGGAACAATGGTTTGACTCATCTCATTAACTTTTTTATTTATTTGGTGTTGGAGTGAAAATATTGAATTATAGCTTGCCCAACTGTCATCTAAATCCTGTTTTTATTTGGTCGGGTGAGAGATAACTCCAGATGTTGGCTCATTGTAATCCAGCGCATTAATATTCAAATGGGAGGGTGCCGTTTTTGCCGCAGGTTCCTCTGGCTCTGAAACCCAAACGTGATGTGAAAGTTTGAGCTCGTTGTGTGACATTGTGAGAGGTTTTATTGCGCAGAGGTGGACTTTATGACCCTTGTACAATGTCTAACGATAGCAGATTGTGCTGTTTCCCCTGAAGGTTGTCACGTTACATACACATACGTGTTACTGCAATTGTAGTTTTTACTTATTTCTTTCCTCAACCTTGCAGTACAAATGTTGAGTTCTACAACACTCGCAAGTAACACAATTTATGGTACATTACTTACTATTACTTTTTCTATCACCCTCCTTATACTTTTTGAGTTTGTTTCACATTTAATTTTAAACAAAAAGGTAATTGGGGATTAGTTTTAAAAATAAATGGACTGTATATAGTATTGTCAAAAATTGTGAAACAATTAATATAAGAAAGCTAAACTATTTCTATGCATTCAATACCTGGTTAGGCCTCCTTTTGCTGCATTGACAATGTTTCTACCCGGGAGATGAGTGAATACATGAAACCTGTAAACCAGTCCACAAACGAAATATACATAAGATACTGATTCAATAATCTTACATGTATAACAAAGTATTGCTATTGAATTAGATGTTAAAAAAAATCAACGGAACATTATGCATGTGGACTTAAACCTTCTGCTATACCTTCAGTACATTTGAGTCTACTTTTTCTTCCTCTGATGCTGAGTGTATGCAGTTGTTTGCCTCCTACACAAGGTCGTTGGGCGAATGCGTCACAATGCAGAGTCGCCGCTCAAACAATGATTGTGCCCTCCATCATTATAAAACTGTCAGCATTGCTTCTCTTGTTTACATTCCTATATTTTTCCCTCTTCATTGTCTCTTTTTTGTCTTTGTCTTTGCAGCCGTGTGGCGGTAATTCGTGGAAACGTGGTGCTCCAGGATGGGTCTCCTTTGGTGGGAGTCAACATAACCTTCCCACAGCATCCGGAGTACGGCTACACAATCAGCCGGAAGGACGGAAGGTACAGCCGCAAACTGCAAACGAGCACACTATTTCATCTTCTCCACCGCTGAATCTAATTGTACATCTTTTATCGAATTGTAGTTTTGATGTCGTGACATTGGGGGCCATGTCCGTGACCCTGATGTTCCAGCGTCCGCCCTTCTTGCCCCAAACTCGCACCGTGTGGACACCCAACAACAACTTCCTGGTTTTGGATCAGGTGACCATGTCCAGGGTGGTGGTGGAGATTCCAACGTGTGACATCATGAACGTTCTGAGTCCGTATCCGCTGGTGCTGCCCTATCCGCTGCCAAGATACACAGGAGCTTGTTCCGAAAAGGGGGCCGCGATTCCAGAGCTGCAGGTAAATCGAACTGAAGTACGCACCTTTAAGAGACAAGAAGGTGATGGCAACAGGGCAAGAAGCAAGGCAGATCTGTGGAGAAGCAAACCAGTTTCAAAGACTGCATGTGTTTTGTTTTGTTTTTTCAATATGATATCATCTATTCAAACTGACACTAAAGATAAGTGTCAGCATTAAACTTACATACATTGGAATGGAGACAGTTCCCAACGGGGATTCACATTTACATTCACTTCCAAGGCTTGGTTGCAAGTCATATAAGTTTGCGAAGAGACAAGCAAACGTGCAAACTTTAAGTATTTGAGCAGTAAAAACGTCTGAAATTAAAATAACGAATTAAACAAACAAAAATGAAGCTAGTAAATAATATATTTATGTTAGCACGCGTGTAGCTTGTTAACATAAATGTAAAAGTTGTGGGCTCAACCTTCAGAGTCAGATTTTATGGTTCAGTTTATAGACCAATAGTTTTATGAACAAATACTTTTCCCATACATTTTAATATTTATCACTACTTATCACTCAATTATCTCAATAACAGAGCCTCATTCAATTGAGCTGTAGACTTTACAAGCCAAGTAAGTGGTTTGCTCTTGGCTGAATCATCACTTTCGGAAACTGCAAAACTGTGAATATAATACATTATTAATGAAGCAGAAATGATTGCAGTATTACGTCAGTCAAATGAAAGTTTTGCAAAGTTGGATTTAAATTAGGTTTGAAATATGTATATTTAATTGCTTTTTTATTTTAAGGATAGTATAAAATTCATAACATTAGAAGCTTTGGTCTAATTGTATGTCATTGTAAAGGTAGTTCTAAACATACATTCACAACATACATGCTGAGCTCTTTCATTGGATATAATCAGTGTTGGGGCTTGTGCTCTGGGGGAGGATGCAGGTGCGCTGTATGTTAATATGCCACAAATGAAAATGCAAACTCAGATTAACGTGGACACATGACAGTCGGTGAAAATGAGGTTTAGATGTATTTTGCAACAGCTCAGCAACAAACCAACTCTGGCATTGTGGATTTCTGCAATTTTTGCTCATTCCATATTTACATCATGCAAATGCCAAATGAAGTCAATGCATATCGCTTGGTCTGAGCTGAGACAGTGGCAAACGAGGTGGTTCAAAGTCAGTTGGAGGTCGGGCTCAGTCATTACTGTATCGACCCAAAGGAGTTGGTAATTTAGATGTCTCAATTTTTGCAAAATAACATTCAATTCAATTATGTTTTTACATATTTGTTAATGTCTGTCCTTATCTCTCCATCTGCTCCTTTCATATAACCAATGTGTGATTCTGTCTGATTAGCGAACCATTACCAGTTAATCCTTGTGGCAAATATTAGCTCAGGACAAACTGTCTGCCAAGATCGAAAATGAAAAGCACATTGCCTAAAACCTCTTATCAGAGGGTTAGTTGATTTAAGGTAATCAAAATGGTACAAAATGTGAATAAATAAATGTCTGCCGCTGCCGCCCATTAGCTCCTAATCATACGGATGGTGGAGTCTGGCAAAAACAACAACAGGGGCAGGAATAAAGTGAAACAGCTCTCAAAAATCCATAAATATGTTTGACATATCCTATACTAGGGCTGCACAATATATCGAAAAAATATTGTTTTCGTGAAATTGGTGCGTGCAATATCCATATAAAAAATATGCACATTAAAAAATAAATAAAAATCCTTTATTAAAGACAACTAAACAGACAGACACACCAACATTCAACAAATACTACAAACAAACAAAAAGTTTATAAATATATGCATTTGAATGTCATGTGTTGGTGTTTTTGTCTCTTGCGTTTCAATGCAGATTGCTATTTTAGGTAACAATAATAATCTTGCAATAATATAGTTATGGCAATACTCAACGCTCACATCGAATATTGTTCCAATTTCCAATATCGTGCAGCCCTATCCTAAACTGCAACTGATCAAACCACGGTTGTGCTCAAAAGTTTACAAACCAGGTCAGAGATTTTCTTTTTTAGGCCAATTTTTTTAGATTATGAATGGTAACACAAAAACTGCCTTTCCCACTCATTGTGAGTCAAATCACAACCGCTCTGGGGGGATCTCAAATGTGCAGTTCATGCAAGGTGGCTCAGAATCCTCATCCAAAACTACCCCAAAAGACTGCAAGCTGTCACAGATGTTAAAGGGGCAATACATGTTACTGAGAACTGGGGGATGTAAACTTCTAATCAGGGTCATTTGAGTAGTTTCCGTTGTCATTGCCATTTGAAAACAGACAAACATGTTTTTGACGGTAAATGGTTTCATACCACAGACATTGAGTGAAAAAGTTTACTTCATAATATCTGCGTGGGTGTGTGGAATCTAAAACACAACTGTAAGATTTTAAAGGGATTCAACTCAACAGTTTTCCTTCTTAGTAAAATTCCTTTTTGCCTTGTCTCACTCACGCTGCTCTCTTTGACGCTCTCCACAGGCCGTCCAAGAGGAAGTTTCCATCCCTGGTGCTTTTGTCAAACTCAGCTATTTGAGCACTCGAGCAGCAGGCTACCAGTCTCTCCTCAGGGTGCTGCTCACTCCCCCGTCCTCCTCGTCTCCTGTGTCCCCCCTGGGTGGGCTCTCTAAAGTCCATGTCCGAGCATCGGTGCAGGGGCGGCTCTATCAGCGGTGGTACCCTGCTGGGCCCGGACTGGTTCACAGGCTGGTTTGGAACAAGACGGACATCTACGGACAGGAAGTGTGGGGGCTCACTCACGCAACAGGTAACTAACAAGTCATGTTTGTGTCTTGGACCTGCCTACAACCAGGCTATTAAACGGACTCAACAGAAAAAGGCACATCACCAACTTGCACATAATGTCAAACAGAATAAACATTCAATATATTTCAATAATGAGGATAAAGCAGCACTGATCTTATCAAATGTTATGAGTAGCAAAACCTGAATAAAACTATATAAGCACTTGTAGAGCAAACACCTCTGCCAAGAGGCATAGTTCTAGTCCTTAAAGGTGAGGTGCCTGACTTCTTTTTCAAAAACAATACATTTAGTTTTTCCATACTAAAACGCACATGTTCACAAGCACTATGTCCCTCATTGTCAACCCTGGGTTAGTCCTGGTGTAGCTCCTGTGTTGGCTGTTTACATGTTCAGTCTGCTCGCTCAGACCACTAATGTCCCCGTGACCACTTTGTGGCTCTCTGATTGGTCGCTGCACGAGCGTTCAGAGGAAACGCTCAGTAATATTTATCTCCTGCGTGCGTCAATTTTCCGCTCCTGCGCCTCTGCCGCGCCTTTGCCGCGCAGTCTCTACCGTGCGTGCATCCTGAGACGCACATGTAGTTCCACACTCGAATGCGCCTCACCATTGACTTTGCCTTGAAAGTCGCCGCTACGCATGATCCGGTCAGAACGTGGTATTAGTAAACTTGAGGTCCATTTTGTGAACTAATTAATTTTTCTTAACAAGAAAATTATTTTGCATAGTTGTAGAAAGAGCCCTGTATCTGACTTTTTGGGATGAGAGTTGATTGGCTGAGTAAAGTGCTTTCTGACAAACACGTGCCTTCGGCCAAAGATAGAGGTGGAATGCAGCTCTAATAATAAACTCTGATAATAAATGATGATTTTCAGACAATATTATAGATGTCAAAATCCCGTCATAACTTTCTTAGATACGGTGCAAACAAACAATTGTGGCTGATTACATATCCTCTTTGCCTGAATCAGTCCTCTTCAGTAAGAGAACATTTTGATATTAATTAAATAAAGCGTAGGTCTTATAACATTTAAATGAACCTGTTTGAGAAGGTTTCACAGTACGTAAAGTTTAGAACTGGTATAATCCAGTTATAGAGCATTTTGAAATCAATACCAATTACTCATAGGTTATAAACACAAATACAATATTTTCGACTTGGATATGTGTCATAGAACATTACAAAATAAATTTCTAAAGTGATTTCCAATTAATTATGCAGGTTTTGTAAAATGGTAGTTCAAAAACATAGTTGATTCATTTGACATTCAGTTAATGTAGCAATCACAGCAGGAGCAATTAAGTCAGACTATTAAAACAAATATGAGCTAGAACCAGTGACTTACCGCCCACTCCCCTCTCAATCATACTAAAAATGCACTCACCTTAAAATAATGTGATTGGTCAGGGAGTTTAGCACAAGGTTTGATTGGATGTTCAGTGAATAAAGTGGGTGGCTTTGGAGATAATTTCTCTGTTGCTTATTTTTGAAACTGCAACCTAATTAGGCCCTTTCCTTTAAGCATTTTTTACCAGCTTTTGTCCTACCGCGTAATTTATATCAAGGATAAGAACAGCGACTTAAACAAATAAGTTCTCTGTCTGGGGAATTACCTTTTTATTAGCTTTGTCACTTAGATAAGCAGCACACAGCTCTGGCTATCATCTGCTGAATGTCTTCGCACCTCCAATACTTTCTAATATGAATATGTTCTTTTTTTACTTTTGTGCTAGCCCAAACGTGTTCCTTTAACACTTTTGAGCTTCTTGAAGAAACTTGAGCTGCCAGACAAAATCCATCTTGTATTTGTTTGTGGAAAGTGAATGAAATAGGAAGATTTCCACAGACGACAGCGTTGGTTTATCAAAGCAAATAAGCGTATTCAAATGCAAAGTAAATGCGTTTATATCTGCATTGAGGCGTTCTAATCATGCCTAATCAATGTGTGAAACGCTGCACTTAAGTGGTACTTATAGGCATATTGTGCAATAAGTAATCAGGCCATTCCAAGAAATCGCAATGAACAATGCGAGGGGATAATTATTTGCAATTCACTCTCTATACCCTGCGTTTATCAAATGCATTTTTATTTCTAAGTGGACTTGTCGACAAAAAATAATCCTTATATTAATACATAGTTTGGGACATACAATTTCACACCTCCCACTGAGTTGCCTTTATAGCCTCGTACTTATGTCCATGGTGAGAATTAGAAACCTCTTCAAATGCAGTTTTATAGCCAAGGAATTATGTGTATTAGAGGTAAATATTGGCCTGGTTATAATTTCTAAATGTTTCAGAAATTATGCCATGTTGAGAATAAGGTGCACTTTATTAATCCCTGTGGGGCAATTAATCCTCTGCATTTGACCCATCCTGATGCGACAAAGGCTTTCGTCAGGAGCAGAGGTCGCCGTCGTTCAGCGCCCGGGAACCCATCTCCAGATATCGATGCTCGGCTTGGTCAGGACTACCAGAGCTGGAGGATTTTACCTAGTGTACCTTGTTTAAATAAAGTATATATTTGACTCTAAATATAGTTTCCATTTTAATGCCCCACATTTTTTTACTTTAAAGATTTCAAAAATTTAAAAGAAGATATAATTATGCAAAGTATAGCACACTCCTGCTTGAGCTATTCATAATTGTTAATGTAATACTTAAACGTTTTGTGAAATGTAGTTTTGGTGTTTGCACCACCCCAGGACCAGAGCATCATAGGTTCACGTCTTGGTGACATAAACCTAGATCCGCTGCAGGTTACATCCAAATTCAAAATGTCCGATAGAATATTTTTGAAGCAGATAAATTATTCTTTTTTTAAGTTCAGTATATGTTTTGAGTATTCTCGGGATTCTTATTTTTTTGTAGTTGTTCATGGTGTGAAATTATTCACTCTGAGTAATTCAATCAATCAATCAATCAAAGTTTATTTTTAAAGCGCTTTTCATACAAAAGAAGACAAAGTGCTTTACAGTTTGGTTAAAAACAATCCCGCCGGCCCATGACTCCCGACCACCCAACAGACCCACCCCAAACCACAGACAAACGCTCTCATGAACACTCATACACACACACACACACACCAGTAAAACAATAAAACCATGAAAAGAGAGACTTGGCAGGGTTCAGATGCAACCAGCTGAAAAAGCGTCATCCAAGGAGCCGTTTGCACCAGGAGCAAAGAGCCGCCCGTAGCCACAGGGGACACCACAGGACCCAGAGGAGACACGAAACCGAGGCCCCAGACCCTCCTCCAGAGGATTGTGGAAAATCTGTAGAATATACAGACCTCTCAGTGGCACTAAATAGCTTCACCAGATTCTTGACTTTAACATTGGACAGTTCAGTGAAACAGGACAAAAACCAGTTTGAACAAGGAGCACTCAAAACTATAGCATCCTTCACTTTTAAGCACCTGCAAAAGCACCTTTCTCGTGATAGCTTTTTTTGCTGATCTATGTCTTCCTTTGTGTCTTATCTGTCTGAACGATTTCATCTGCTGGCTCTGATCTTTTCACCTCTGTGCTCAGGAGCTCTTCTGTTTTTATTTATGTGATTCGCTAACGCCGCCCTCCGCACCTCACTTTCCCCATAGTGCTGCGTCTAGCATGTCCTCTCGCGTCCTCTCCCTTTTCTCTGCTTGTTATATCTTCAGATCTCTCCGCTCTCAGTCTATACCTCTGTGATCCCTCCTCCTCTGTAGTTTGCTTGACGTTTGTTGGGCGGCGACACGCTCAAAAGCCAGTGCACTCGCAGGTATGAGAGAGAGGCAGATCGCGCACCGTTCGCCGGGGTGAACACATAGCCCGGGGCGACAGCAAAGAGGAATGAAAGCCGTGTAAGAGATTGAATGTGCGTTTCAAGTGCCACCGTGCACTTGTGCATTGTTTGTTCGCTTGTCCATCTCCCTCTGTACAGACCGTGTAATATTCAACTGTGCGAAACTGCTCTCCCAACGTGTTCCCTTTGAGATTGCTTTGCCCGTTTTGTCCCCAAAGTACTTTATATTGTAAAAGAGAGAGAAAGAAACCTAAAAGATGTCCCTATTGAGACTATATATTTATTGTAACCTTTAAAGCATGAATTGGTTTCCAGGTCGTGGCGCTGCTTCTTCAATGTGACTTCAAGGGTCAGAAAAGACGAACAATATGACAGGGTTTAACAGTTGTTCTAAATATATTTCACCGTAAGGCACTGCTGCTCCTAACCTTCAGAAAGACCCGCAGGGCTAAACAAGGTTTTGTTAAAGAAAGTATGTTTTCAAATGCAAGTTCACTGTAAATGCATTTTTGATACTTTTTGTATTGAGTTTTGCATTTAGTGTGCTATGTAACTCATCTTGAGTCAAGTATCAGCAAGCAGTGGTCCACACAGATTTCTCAATGTGTTTTTATATTTTACCTAACCTTGAAATCGCCATGACACATCATCACTGACTCTGTTTTGTATACAACTATACTATATGAGACTAGCTCTACCTCTTGTTAACATTTTTAATATAAAAATAAAGAAAAAGCTCATAGTAGATGGTATTCATCAAACTGTGATTTTATTAAGACTTGGACCTTTGTCTTATTGATGCATTTTAGACACATACAGAATCTATCTGTACTGTGTATTACGGAATATAAAAACCAGATTACAACCAAACTGGTTCTTAAATTAAGTTGTTAAATAGAAACAAAAAGCTTCTGTCCACCAGCGTTTTATTTCTCCTTTTAAATCCCCAATGCACCAAATTGCCTATTATTTCCCTGCCCAATCTTTTGTATTGATTTCATGCATTAAGCTGAAGATTTAGATTGGCCCTGCGCACCCTCAAAGCGATTCTGTTCAAGCGGATTCCCCTACCACTGACTTTCATGCACAAGTCTGCACCTCCACCATCTTCTGAGCTGTTTTTCTTTTTTGCTGACTTGTTTGATCCCCGTGATTTCCTTAGATCGCGGTCTTGTACAGTTACAGTAAAACCACCGTCGTGAGAGATGGAGAAAGGGAGACAAAGATGAGTGATGAAGGAGACAGAGAAGTCTGAGACAAGCCTGCACTGTCACTGACAATTCCACCAGTTCTTTTTCACTTATGTCTGTCTTAAATAACATTCCATTATGAGCTGTTTGGAGTAAACCTCACTGATCTCATGCTGCTTTAATTTCACACTCCATAGCAGCTTTTCCACTTACTTCAAAGAACTGTACTATGAGTAATCTTCAGTTTATCAAAAATAATTCAATAGGAAATCTGCCAAGCTGCTGCATCTACAATGTAATCATTTCAATCTGGAAAGACTTAAAGGTACTATGTGTAATTTTTACTGTTGCTCCCACACCGCGTTTGTAAACCATTAAAGCCTGTGTGCAGCGTGCAGGTGCCGCCTCCGAATGCGGACTATTACATTTCAGTTTGTTTGCATTTTAGCGCTACAATGTCAAGTGACCAAGACGTATGGAGAGATCTGGTCATTTATCAAACCGAAAGATTCTTTCCTTTGCCCCGGTTCAATTGACCGGGAGTTGTGGACCACTGTCAAAGACGACATATTATCCTTCCAAGCTACCGTAGTACCAACAATACATGATCTCAACGCTAGAGAGTCAAATCTACACAGTGTGTTTTTAAGACAAAGATTGCAAAAGAACTATTTTCTTTGGCACGTTTGAACAACACGTTTGGGGGCGACAGTAGCTCAGTTGGTAGAGTATTGGCCTTAAGGCCAGAAGGTCGTGGGTTCAATTCCCACCTCTGCACCTTCTCCACCGACTCCCACTGATGACTGCTGTCGTTGTGTCCTTGGGCAAGACACTTAACCCCACTTTGCCCAAAGCCCCCACTGAAAGATCAAGGCTATGCTCACACTCAGAGAGCAGCCACCACCTGCAGAGGGTCAGTGAGGGGCTGGTGCTATGAGACTTGGGTGGCATCTCTGACTGCCACCCCCCTGACCCAGAAATGGATTAAAGGGTAGAAAATGGATGGATGGATGGACGTTTGAACAAATCACATGACTAGACAATTGAACCCAACAATTTGACCCTGGCATAAATATTTTGTATGCAGGAGGAAATAGAGATTATGATATTGCAAAGAAAGCTGAGCCGATAATGATTCTCCACCAAAGAGGTGGTGATGGGGAGGAGGAGGGTTGCTGCAGCAGCTTGATGTAAGGACTGTTTAAATGCAGCCATGATGCTGATGGTCACAGATGTGTGACCGAGGCTTATTGCTGAGAGCTCAGGCCCATGTCGATGCAGAGAGAGGACTCAGTATGACAGGTTAGATACTAAGCACTGAGAACAATGTCTCCCGGCCTAAATTTCCACTTTACCTGCGTTATCATATTAGTATTGATTGTATGTATGTGTGGCAGTCGAATTGTATGTATTCACTTAATTCAACTAATGATTTTTTACATTTGTAGATGATTTTAGTTATATACACATATTTCACCTTCAAGTTTGAAAATGTTTCCTTCACTCTCATTTCTCAATATGTACACATAGCAAGAAAACTTATGTAAGTCATGTCTGAACATTGACATACAATCTTTCAGCAGAATTAAATAGTAAAAGTGTAGTTGTTTTTCTGTAGAGGGGGAGTATGCTGTGCGGATGTATCATTAAAACAATGAGGCCAAACGGCTAATTCTAGGCCTGCTTCATGAAGACCGCCTCCTATGATTACGCCTCCACTTGTAACGAGGACGACAGGCCAGCCAAATAACTGAGAGAAGAAATGTAAAGACAGTTTTCTGTAATTTATATTCCTTAAACAAATCTGATTATGTCTTCTATAATCTTTTAACCTTGAGGATGTTGTACAAGTCTGGTAACATATTGTTTTTTTTTATTCACTGAAAATATCCCTCATGCATTTGGCTATAATTGACATTGTTAATGCTGTTTGTTAACAGATGACTGGTAAGTTATACAATTTTGTTGTGTATTTTACATTGATTTGCACTATGCCATTGCACGTCCTAAAAGCTGGGGTACGTAATTTTAATAAGTATGTCATGAATCCATTACACAAGCTCTTTGCTTTCAAAACAGTTTGGTTCTTTCACCAGTTTCCACATGCGTGTATTTTTAGCCTCTGTCATATCGTTAGAGGACAAAGAAAAGACCATTCTCATGCTCCAAAGCATTAAGTGACTCACTGAGCTCCTTCTTATAAGTACAGGATATTAAAGACTGTGCCTATTAGAGAATACTAGTCTACTAAGTAGACTAGTTAGTAGACTATTTCTGTTGAGACTAATAATATATTACTTATTATTTAAAATAAAAAAGTAGGTACACCAGCTTTATCATTCCAATACCTTACCTGTGCACACAGTTTTATTGATGAAAAACTTTGTAAAATACTTGACACTAATGATTCCTAACCCTTAATCTATTTTCAGTGGCAGTTGGTTATGAGTTTGAGTCCTGTCCTGGAGCAATTCAATGGGAAAGGAGGACAGCGCTGATGCAAGGATTTGAACTAGTGCCATCGAACCTGGGAGGATGGTCCATGGACAGACACCACTCCTTTAACATGCGCAGTGGTCTGTATCAACACACATTATTACCGCACTAAATCCACATCCCTTACCTCCTCTCAGGAGTGAGCTGCACAATAAGGAAACAATAGACCCACCGACAGTAATGGATAATAACTGTACCACATTAGCCCGCATTGTGTGCTCTCTACAGTAATTACTTCCTTGGCACCATCCTCACTGTGTGTTTCCTCATTCACGGAGATGTGATACCTAAAAAATGACCTTGGAATGGGACTGTCTCTGTCACTGCATTTGGACACAACGGGTTGTCTCTAATGTACTTTCTCTATAGTCCCAAATGTGAGGTGTACCTGGTGATTCCATTTCAGAGAGATGAAATCTGAAATTCCAAAGGTGTGCTATAAAATCTTAATGAACCTTAAGAAGGTTGCTATAATGGAGAGACCCAACAGGGAGCAAAGAAGTAAAAATATGCCCTTATTTTCAGAAGCTCAAATTGAATTGCATTAAATTGGATAGAGTTTTATTTATGTTCAAAGATCAGTGATATTTCTAACACAGCGCACCTCTAACATTTAATCTTAATGCCTTCCTCCCCGGCAGGAATCCTCCACAAAGGAAATGGGGAAAATGTCTTCCTGTCCCAGCAGCCCCCTGTCATCAGCACCGCCATGGGAAACGGCTTCTACCGCAGTGTCCCATGTGGGCCAAGCTGCAGCGGCGCAGCCCGGGACATGATGCTGTTTGCCCCTGTGGCCCTCGCCAGTGGCCCTGACGGCTCTCTCTATGTGGGCGACTTCAACTTCATCAGGAGGGTCCACCCTGACGGATACACCCGGACCATTCTGGAGCTCAAGTGAGTCTGAGTCATGGCAACGTCTGTGAGCCTGGTCCACAAGCCATTATATATTATGTAGAAGTGATTATTATTCTTAGAATGGATTATTATTTCACAAGTTTTGAATTATCTCTTCTCTATTATATTGGACCACTTATTTAAGCCACTTTTGTATTAAATTATGTTTGGAATTACAAAACAAGAAAATATAGTTGTATTATTATTATGAACTATAAAAGCTAGGGACATTACTTTCAAACTCACAAAAATTCAAACAGACAACCACTGGTGACATTTTTGATTACAGGCAATGATAATTAAATTGTAAATTACATATTGTGTGCTTTTAGTGACTTCTCTTCAGCACAGACTCTGTGACGCTAGAGTTTTGAAAAAAAAAAAAGTATGTTCTGTGGTAAGGTGGCAGGGAAGTGCCCATCGACTTGCTCACAATGAAGCCCAAATGAGCGTGAGTTATATGGGTTAGTGTGGCATTATCTGCAGTGGTGCATCTGCAGTTTGATCTGTTTGAAGTCAGTGTTGTGATGTTTGTGAGGCTGTAATACCTCTTTAGGATGAGAGGAGGACTCCAGCTCAGAGACAAAGATATTTTCGGTGGATTATGACGATGGTATCTACAGAGCTGCAGGCGCTACATCCTCACCAGTTTCTGTATTTTCTCAAGCGTAGAATCTGAGCAGGCTGGCAGAATCATTTGTCCTACAAAATGTTTCCCTTTATGTAACTTTACACTTATATTTTCAGTTATTACTGTCTGTCTCACCAATATTCTCTTTGTAGGAGGAAATGTATATTTATAGCCAGTAATTTAGTTTTTTCACGGTAAAGTAAACACAGAGTATTGCTTAAGCTTTGTACAATTATCTTTATTGGTATCCTGTCCTAAACCTGGATATCAAGTAGCAGTAGAGGTTGTGGCAGTTTACCTTGAGGGAGTATCGTTAGTAAGATCCTCACAATACTGCATGCAATAGAAAATTGCAATACACAAGGACACAATATTGTTTGAAATAGTTCTACTTCTATTATCAACTAGTAGTGATTGTTACGGAGGTACTGTCGGTAGGACAAAAAGAGCTCAGTAATGGGAACTTTCTCTGCAGCTGAAGAGGTCATGTTGTAGTATTAATAATAAATAGATAGAAGAATTACTAGTTGTAATACTGAAAAGAAACATACATGTGCTGTATAGCAGTGATGAATGCTTGGGACTGTATTTTATCTCGAGACATACCTTTTGTCATTAATAATTAATATAGACCCATACAGCTGTCTCAAAAACCTAACTTAAAGGAGCTATACCCATTTCTGCAAGGCTTTTTTCAGTTTGAATGTTTAGCACCGCCCCGCAACTCGCTCACAGGCTTCTCATTTCCCCTACGCTCTCCTCCCACGGAGCCATAGTTTTATCTGCGATCTGATACATATGCAAACATTAGCGCAACTTCTTGTAGCTGTACAACAATCACTGATGAAGTGGTGCAAAAGCAACGCACTGCTAACAAAGTATATAACTGAAAGATAACCTCTAGTTTAGCATCCAACTTTTGTCCGAGGCGGTCCCGCACCTGCAGATCTCTCCAGCGAGGATACAATGTCAGCTAGCTATATTCACCTGGGCTTGATTCCTTCTTTGATCATGTTTTCGCTTTAGTTCCCTCTTCCCCCTCCTCACTGTTTTGTCGTTTGGGCTGTGTATGCAGTTACAGCCAGCGGAGTTATAGCCAATTCTGCTAACATGCTACTGGATAGGGTATTACTAGCTTATAGCTGTCCCACCCATGGGCACAAGGGGCGCCCGTGGTACTACAGACTAAATTCACGAGGGCTACCCAGAAAAAAGTCCCATAGATCTCAATATAAACTAAAACAGCTCGACCTCAGCTGACAGAGAACCTACAGCTTTCATAAAGATCGTATTTTGTGGGGATTTTAGTGGCCCTTGCCATCCTGAACTTTTTTTCATCTTAAATCCTTCGGTTTTCTTTAAATCCACACTTTACAGCCACAAACTCTGCTTGTTTCCTTCCCGCTCTGGCTCCGCTCTTCCGCTGCTCTGATGAACAGCTCTGATTGGTCAGAGTGCGGCCGAGCCCCTCTGTGCGCGTGCATGAAAGCCACACACGCGTATTTGGCGCAACACATCATGGTAGATAATCCACTGCGCAGAACCAGGAGGACCAGACGATGCCCAAATATAGGCATCCATCCATCCATCTTCTTCCCCTTCATCCATTTCTGGGTCGGGGGGGTGGCAGTCAGAGCTGCACCCAATTCACTTAGCACCAGCCCCTCACTGATCCTCTGCAGGTGGTGAGTCCACAGGAGGACGGCTGCTCTGTCAGTGACAATACAGCCTTGATTATTCAGCGGGGGCTTCCAAATATAGGCGAGTTCTACTAATCTCCCGGTCTCCATGAAGTCCCATGCGCTACTGAGCACAAGCCCTTCATTTGAATAGGGTGCCATCTTGGATCACCGGCTTGGTTGACTTGCGTTGTAGACGCTAGAGGAGGCAGCCTGTTCGTAACAGCGCCGCTCATTCTGTGATTGGAGGAGAGATAGCGTCATGCTAGTTTCTACTCAGCACTTTTTACGACCTGACCCATGCATACGCTGAATCCATGGGCTGAAGTTTTCAATTAAATTACAGATTTTAATACAACTTGTATGTAGTAATACGCATTTTTATGAACTCATTAGAAAATAAATCGGGTAAAGCTTATTTAATAAGGAGAAAACAGACTCATGTCGGGGTATGAAATCACAATCATGACTGGTTTGGCTTGTAAATGATTATTTTGTTTTTCTTTTCTCCTTCATGGCACATCAACAGGAACCGAGACACCAGACACAGGTAAGACATATTTGTTATTAATTAGCAATACTTTAGCAAGAACTACTATGCAAAATTAGTGTTATTTAAACCTTATTATGAGACTATTCACCTTTGCATGTCATGTTTTACTATGTTGAATAGTAGAAAATGTATATAAACTCAACAATGATGCGTAATGTGTTTTCTTTAAACTGCAGAAAACATCTGTCCTATAGTTGTTCGTTTGGGTGCAATGTTGTAATGTTGTTAGAAAATAGAATTTGGCATAATGTGTCATTAACATATTTGATCCGCTCTTCTCACACAAAGCTTGGGAACTGCAAAACAAATCCTCATTGAAATTACACACTTGGCCCTGGTAAATTGGTAATCTGGAAATCAGACAATATGTCAAGGATTCTGTGAGTTCAAGGATTATAGAGAAATGGAGCTGCTATGTTTTGCATTGTTCTTGTAACTGACAGAGAGAACGCCAGAGTATCTCAGAGACCTTGACTCTGTGTCCGCTGCTCTGAGCTGCAAACTCAATGTTCGGCAGGAGATTAGACAGATGTTATTGAGTCCCAGTATCTGCGTTCCAGTCTCTTCTCACTATCAGTGTTACATCGGAAGGAAAAAATTAAATAAAGTGGCACGCTTGTGGGCGTTTGTGACAGATGGGTTTTATCCAGTTTTCAAGAGAATGGATATTTTTCCAAAAATCTCTCAGAATGCTAATGTTTCCAAGCTTGGAAAACTGATAACAGAGTATGGATTTGTACCTGTGTGACGGGCCGCTGTCGGAACAAACGAACAAAAAACCTTCAAAATGACAGACTTTCCCATATTTTTTTCTCTTCTTTTACACAAAGATTAAACAATAAATTACTGTATCACATTTTGAAAACACAACTAAAAATCTCCAAATATATAACAATTATTAAGTATAAATGTATACCACAGTCTGATAAAACTGGCTTGTTTGGCCACTGCTGAGATGTTTTGCATAAACAACAACAACTGAATAGTTGTCATATAATTTATGAATGACTTCCATCAACATTCATTCATTGGAAGAGCTAGATTGGTAATTTCCCTCAGACTGCAGATGGAAACTAGCTATCTAGCAATAATCTGGTGTAGAACATATATGTTGCTTTGAACTTAATGTCTCTGTTCACTTTCCATTCAATACAGATTATTTCTATCTACACACAGTGACCAACAGTTGGCATTACACTGTACAAAAACCCGAAAATAGCATTCAACAGAACATGTGTGACGCTTTTTAAACTTAAGAAGAGAATAAGAGAGAGACCTCAGGCGCTCTGATTCAAGATAAAAGTCTTGCTTCAGTATTTATACATCTAATTAGGTAATTTTTCATTCCATTCCTCTATTTTCTTCTGCTTTACCGAAGGCAGCACTCTGAGCAGAGAAGGCCAAACTACCATGCACACTTTCTACTAGCTCCCACAGCATTCCTGACAAGCTGAGAGACATAGTTCCTCCAACGTGTCCTGGGGCTTCCCTGGGGTCTGCTCACGGTTATTTTAGATTGATATAATTTTTTTGCTTTGTTTATTTAGTCTATACATTTCTTGAAGTGTTAGGAATTAATATTTTCCTTTGTACCACACTCTTGCCTGAGAATGAAACCAATAATATGTTGACTGTAGCAAGACTGATAACTTTCACTTTATCATTTGCCTGTCAAGGGAACTGTGCACTTCTATCTCCGGATACATCTCTTGCGCTAATCTCACAAAGTGTATTCTGTCCCAAGGCGTTTCGGATACCCTCATCCGCACCCGGGACACTCCTCTCTTAGCGCAAGCTTCCTTCCCTTCTTCTGCTCTGCTTTAACTGTGCGCACCATGTTAGTGTTTCCCTTTTATTCCATAGTATTGTTCTCCCAAGTCAAATCCATTAATTATTCATCCACATTCTTTTTTCAAAGCTTTCCACTCGGTTCTCAGCAAAGTGCCCATGGGCCAACAACCCAACCAAAAGGGGTCTCTGGATTGGGGATGTACTGAGAGCAAAAACCATTGTCTATGTGCCTGCTTTAAGAGTTTGTGCACCGGATTGAAAGGAAATAGGAGTGGAGCATTATCAGGAGGCACAGGCAGTCAATTCATAAGCGGTCAGGAACAAGCAGATCCCAGTAATCTGTGAGTATTTTGTTATCATGCAGGAGGAACATGCAGGCCCTGAGTGCTATTGTTGGTGGATTAGTCATTATTAACCTTATTGTTGTCTTCATCGAGCACATGTTGCAGTTCTGATTCAGCGAGCGAAATGTACCCAGGCTGAAAATGGTCTGTAACATGGCGCACCATACCAGTGCTGGGCGATCTGGGGGGGGGGGGGGGGGTAAAAACATGCTTTTTTTTTACCCATATTGATCAATTTTTTTTTTTTTTTTACTGGAATTCTTTGCTTGTATTGGCAGTTGCAAGCACTTAAGACATTAAATGACATATATTAAATATAAGTCTTTTTTTCCGCCACTGAGTTATGTATAAACACAAATGCGATAATTTGTGGTTTTATAGATTGATTTTAGCCTTCACATGCTGTCCAATAGAAAGCCCCTACTATGAAAAACTTGTACAATAAATTAAATGCCAGAGCTATTACTTTAACTCTACAAACTAGATTTTAAGCTCTTGGATGGAGTCAACTCAGAAAATAAACTAAGTAAGGAAGTCATCTTTATTTGTATAGCATATTTTCCAGGTCAATGTCACACAAAGTGCTTGGTCCGAGGCTTAATTCACTCCATACACACTGATGTCAGAAGAGAGACCCTGAACACCTGCTGCACCTGACGCTCTGACCAGCACCATCTATTCAGTCTTTACTTCATACCTATTGTAGATGTTTTTGGTGGTACGGAAAACTGTAGCACTTCTCCCACACAGACACAGGGAGAACATTCAAACTCCAGAAAGGCTCAAGAATCCAACCTAGGACCCTCTTAATGTGAAGCACGAGTGCCAAATGCTCTTCCACCTTGTATTGCAACAAAAATAAGTGTTGGCAGTGAACTAAAACTAATCTTGGTCTCCACACTGTCTGGAGCAAACAGCTACTAAACTGGACTCAATCTGATAAATGTGAATGCTCCCTCGGTCCTAGCCATGGCAAAGCTATATAAGAACAAAACTCCGGGACTTACCCAATCATGAATGCAGACGAGTTTTAGACCCACTGAATGAAGTTTCATAGCAGTGTAGTGAATGCACTTTGTAACTGGGTGGATAACTCTCTCTGGGTCCAGGCTTAAATTATGCATGTGCAGTTCAGCGCTCACTTCTGTAAACAGTTAATGGATTCGATGACTGACAGCGCCCTTGCTCTCAACGGATTGTGTTTTATTTTCATTTTCTCTCCATTTTATGAGTATTCTCCACCTAATATCTCATTGAAAAAGCCTTCTTTCTTTTCTGTGTGTAATTATGTTAGCTGCCGCGAAAGCAAACACGCCAAAATCACACTGAAACCTGTGAAACAGAGGCGCAAAGATAATGTTCCAGCATTCCATATTTTAAATTTCATTTGTGAGATATAATTCAGTAGGTTGCAACAAAAAGAAGTGCAGGGCGAGTCCTTGAGTTTAATTGGCAGGAAGGCTGTGTCCAGACCTGAATGACACCCAATTTCACACTACAAAGTAATAGATGAAATATGAGTTCACACAAAGCAAAAGGCATAGAGCTGTGCAATTGAATTAAATAACATTATGAGGTTTGATACTATTGGACGGGCTATACATGGATATTTACTGCATGAATATGTTACTATTTGCAAGACATTATCAACATACTGTGAAAGCCAGATCCCGTCAGACCTTTGAAGCTAAACAGGGCTGGGCCTTGTTCTTACTGTGATGGGAGACTTCTGGGAACACCAGGTGCCACAATGGGGGGGGGCTGTAAAGTGCCAAACTGTTGTTGTGTCCTTAGGCAAGACACTTCACCGATATTGCATGACTCTGAGCACTGGTTGCCTTGCTGCTGACAGTGTGCCTCAGGGCATCTGTGGCTACGGTATCAGTGTATCACCACTGTGTATGAAGTGAATGAATAATGACATGTCAAGCATCTTTGAGTGAAGTAAGCGCTATTTAAAACCGGTGCAAAATTATTATTATCATTACAAAATACATATTATTATTATACTATACATTTGGCACTCAAGTAAACTCAGAAATGGACTTGAATCATAGGACAATGCCATAAGGTGCGTGCTTAATGAACCAGTCTGCTGCTGTGGTACATGTCTTGTACAGTATACATGGCCGCAATTACTACAGTTGGCACTCCTCCCACGCACAGTATAGGATTGACTGTCAAGAAGAGGCTAAGTGGACTTATTTGCATTTCAACATCACATGAGAAGAATTCATACATAATGTCATGTCTCCAAGCTATCTGATCTATTTATGAGTTTTATTTTACTGTCCGTACTGATGAGCCATACAGTGTTAACAATCAAAGCAAAAAATAATGAAAAGCTAGTCTCAGGAGGCTAGATCACAATGGTCTATGCTGGTTTCATGACGAGCTGGTTTGTTTGTATTCCCAAGGTGTTACCATATAAATTGAGAAGCATGTTGCCATTTAAGATGTCAGTAATGGCAAAATATATTAACAAAATCACTTCATGCGTATACAAGGCTCTCCGAAAATGCTATGTAGGACACTAAAAATAAATGATTGATAATACATTTTAAAGATCCAATGATAATCTTGCAATCTTTTTTCTGATAATTAGACACCATTGCGTTTTATAGTCTTGAGACATTGCTCGTGACCTTCCCCAACCTACTTTCCTGTTTATCGTAGAATAATACAATGCAATAGAAAAAACCCTTTTGAACATAATTGGACCACTTCTTTTCTCCATCCACATCCATTCGAGTCTTGCTTGCACTCACCCTTATTTCCCATGTTCCCTGAAATGTGAATTTTGAATAAAACACAAAGCGAACATTCAGAACAGCTCTTACCATGGCCCCAATCGCATCACATGTCAGAGATAGCGTATGAAGCGTGCTCGGCTATAGCTTGGCTTCAATTATGCAGCTTTCTACCACGGCCGCACTGCCCATGCACATATACATAAGCTCTCTTATCTCTGCATGCCAAATTTATACTGACAAACATAAGACTGCGACTATAAACCACACTTTCGCAGAAACAGGCTTGTGGCATCTCTCTGAGCAAGGCAGCCTCTATAAAGGGACGATATTGTGTACGTATATTACAGCACAGAAGCTCAGGGGCACATAAAAGAAGGAGAGATTGGCATAAGGAGGATTTTCTGAACAAACAAAGTAAAAATCTGCATCACTGAGCATGATATTAAATCAATTTTATGATATGTGAAGTTTCCAATATCGTTTTTACTGTGCTCTGAAACGTTATTGGAATATCTGAGTGGCTTTTGAATAAAGAGCATAGACTCAAATGTGTTGGGACAAACCAATAAGAAACATTATTTAAAACAATCCAATCCACTTTACTTACTCTACCTATACCAGGACTCAACGTCTTACAAGCCGCAACTAAATGGGGATCCGACATCAGGACTAAACAAGAACTAACTAAGAAGAAGACAACATGTGGTCATACTATGGTTAAATCAGGATTAAATCCGATGTAACAGGTTTGCAAAAGAGAGAGTGAAATGCATGCTCACATTTGTTGAATTGGAAGATTTGATTCACTTGACCAGTATTTTTTTACATCACTGATCTAGCTCAAAGTGAGGTGACAAGTGGACCAGGGTTTTTCACACTATCACATGTGAAAATTAGGTCTCATTGAAAAATGTGAATCATTTACTTGCAGCCAACATTCACAACAGCAGTCGTCTCGAAGGACTGTATAAAATGGTTTATTTACCAATAGTAAAGTCACCTTGAACTGTAAGAGGCTTGCTAAACTGAACAGACCACAGCAGTTTTTGTATCTCTGTGTGGAGTGGAGTGAAAGAATAATGCCATGCGAACGTCTTTGGGTGTCATGAAAAACGCTTCATATAGTTTATGCATCAATAATGTTATATAAGTATATGACTGAAATTATTTTTGGCCTTTAACATGATCATGGGACTATTGGCCATTTTAAGCTTTAGAATGTGAAATAGTTTCTTCAGTAGAAAATATATGGTGAAACATAAGGAAAAAAATCATTTCAGGTTACCACCAGCGAGAGGAGTTGAATTTGCTCTGACTGTGATGCCCTATTGGTACAATGACAGGACTGAGACGAGAGCTTTTAGACAGAAGAGGTTGAGTGACATGCTTGTGCCAGAAGTTCCTGAGTGCCGTGGATGTACCTTAAATCCAGGTCCATTTTAATTAGGATTGCAACACAAGCTCAAAAACTATTAGGGTATACTATTTCTCATTTATTTTCCATCTGATTTGACCAATATGTGTTTTGACCAATACATCCCTGCTTCCTCCCCTGCAGCACCAGCCCAGCCCACAAGTACTACCTGGCAATGGACCCCATGGGAGAAGTGCTGTACGTCTCAGACACCAGTAGTCGGCGAGTGTACCGTGTCCGCAACCTGGGCCAGCCCAAAGATCCGTCCCGCAACCTGGAGGTGGTGGCTGGAACGGGCGAACAGTGTCTGCCCTTTGACCAGAGCCACTGCGGGGAGGGCAGGAAGGCCACAGAGGCGGCTCTCAACAACCCACGAGGTAAGAGGCGGCCATTTTTATTGTACTGCTGGAAATGTCAAAAAGCTCACGTGATATCACAGTTGAAAGAAGCTAAAAAAAGATATCGGTCCAGTTACAGAAATGTTGAATATAAATCTTTACGCCTTTAAAAGAGACTGATCTTTGATTGTGGATCATTTTGTTTTTTGAGGATAAAGCTTTTGATGTATACTGTTTGTGTCTGATCGGTATGTTACATCAAAACAAGCCATTAAGAAATATATAGCTTTTGATAATTCATTATTAATATCCGATTATATGGTTCTTGTATTTCGGTCGCCAAAGTTTTCCCGCTGCAGTCAGTAAAGAAGGAAATAGTCAAAGAGAGCTGTCATTTGTTCCATCTATAATCCCTGTGTTTAATCAGAGGATATTTGAGATGAGGGACACAAAGCACTCAACTCATTACTCAACCCCAGCTCCATGTTGAACCGACGATTCATTCTTTGATGAAGATAGCTTTTCATTTTCAAGTGCCATTATCTTGTACTTTTGTATTACTTTTGGACTTAATTTATTTCAAACATCTTTTATAGTTTACATTAAGTTCAAAATCTGATCATCTCAAGAGAAACTGTGATAATGCAATATAAAAAGTAGTTTTAATGAGCCAAAACTTTTAGAGTAGTTGTGTGTGGTGTTGTCTTGGACTGTGAATAATCTTTAATCCTTATATTATTGTATTTGTATTTTTGATGTATTTATTTATTTCAAAGATGTATTGCATATACAGACAAAACTTCACATGAATTCTGAGCACATGGAGTGGGTGAAAAGTAGTTGTATTTTTGTGTGTAGTCTGTAGAATATTTTTGCAAATCAATTATAATTTCGATAATTTATTAGTTGACAAATTATTCTTTTGATCAATAGATTATTTTTTTTTATCCCAAAAGGTCGCTGAATATTGGAACTCATGAAATCCTGGTCATGAATGAATCTGGAACACTCTTAATTGGCTGGCCTATACATTTTATGACGTGCAGTAGAATTGGCAAAGAATCAATGATACAAGAGAGGTCTTTAACAGGACAGTCTTCTTGTCCAATAGGAAACGCCGCACATGGTCTGCTTGGTCTGCTACCAATAGAAACATGTCATCATCTATAGCTAAACACTCAGCATTTCTCCAGTCGTCAGAAGATCTAGCTCATGCCTTTGCGTGTTTATTTCATTCTGCAGTCATTATAGAAATATCGAAGTCAGCACATTTAAGGTTATGTAGGGTTCAAGAAGGATTGATTGATTATCCACTTGTTACAGCCCTAATTAAAAAGCTACTCCCAGAAAAACTTGCTTGATCTTGATTTTCAGTATGAATGCAAACTGAAAGCAGGGCCTCATGATCCTTCTGTATTTTTTAGATTTTAAGCAGGAGGCATCTGAAAGGTTAGCACAGAGATAACTGGCTTTTGTTCTTTTGTTGGCCAAGCGTTTTTTGTTTCTTCGATGTCGGCTCTTCCTATTATTGTAAAGCAGAATTCACCCAGCGTAGGATTGTTCACCCACTAATACATGAGATGGATTAGACCATCGTGAGACAGGTTAGTTTTACCCTACTGATTATGTGTTGTTGCAATGGAAACTCTACAATATGATGTCACATCTTAGCGTGCCAACTTCACCTGACTTTTACTGGCATGTAAGCCAAGATTACCCAGGCTTTGCAACTCTAAAAAGTGTAAATTCACAGGAAAATGGATGGACCTTATTCAAATCATGTTGGATCAGGGAAAGTGAGTCATGTTGTGGGAGCTGACAATAACAACTTCATTAAAATGGCCGCGCTGGATTATGAGAGAAGATGTCATGACAAGGTGCTGAAGTTAACCCAAATACATTTCATTTTGGATCCACAAAGCCCGAACATCCTGCTCAATCCGCTTAGAGGAGTGCAGATTTCAGACAGTAATCCAGACGTGATGCTGACAAATGGTTAATCGTAAAACTCTCATGTTATACACATGAGTACAGAGGGGTGCATCACTTTAGATCAAAGGATTTGTTGTTTTATCATAAACTTGATTTTAGTTGAAAGAGATGCCGATATTGTTTGGCAATGACATTGTTTGCAATAGGCCCCTCAAATAACAATCGCAATTTCATAGTGTAGCCTTTTGTGTTCTACCGTAATTATCTACTTTTGAGATGAAAAAGTATCACTTGTGCTGTTATTGCCACCAATGATTATAGAATAAAGACATTTCATTCTATTGACAGAATTGCATAGTGAAGTAATGTCGGTCTGATTGCAGGGGGACATTTTTATTAACTTATAATACCATTGTGTCCAGTAGGCTGTATTGTATTTTAATTTATGCTATTTTTCTCCGTAATGCTCTGACTGACTTTTGCAATACTCAATCTAATGTAAGGAAGGAATCAATTTGTGATATATGCAACCAAATCCAATGCATTACACAGGCAAATTCAAAAAGACAATGTTGCTTATGCAGGTAGTTTCCCCCAGGCTGAGACATAGAATAACAGATACTTGTTGTTTCTTTTCATTGGGCATCCTGGCCATTACATCGCTGATGCCTTGTATTTTGGGAGGCCATAATAGAACTAGATTGGGCCTGTGGGGGCTGTGCTAGCGGCTACTGCCTTCACAAGTAGGAATTATCTATTCACTGGACTCACCAATCACACCCACCACCTGCACCTCTGGTAGTTCCCATGGGTGTAGCAGGGCATTCTGTGTGTGAGGGGATGTCACTGAGAATCTACCCCAGGATCGGTGCTCTTCTGTCAGTCCACGGTCAGTCCGTCACACTCCACTGCTCCCTGTGACGCAGGCTGTCATGGAGGGCAGAGAACCAGTTGATACATAAGCAAAAAAATAGTGTCTCCATGCATTACCTTCTGTGACATGTGGTTTCTCTGATGTGAGTGGGAAGGTTCAGATATGAGTTTGTTTGTAGTTTTGTTATGGCTGGGGTCCCTAACTTTCAAACCACAAAACTTATCTATGTGATAAAATCCATCTAACTCATTCCTTGTTTGGCTCTAGCAATAGTTTCTGCATGCATTTGTCTGTCACATCTTTAGATCAACTAGATCAAGTGAAAAAGAAACCAACACAAGTTATATTGACTTTGTGGTGCACAGTATTTGTTAAGAAAAAATATGCAGGACTCGGACTGTTTTCCTCCCTAATCCAAATAATAAAATCTATATGCTGTCTTTGAGTGCAGCCCTTCTCCATTTTCCATTCAGATCTATACACACTAAGGGAGGCAGCTTGTCAATATACAGTATGAGACCAGTATGTAGGTCATCTCAGCCCTCGGTGTCACTGCTTATTAAACACAAAATTGATTTACGTTTGAAACTATAACCTTGTGCATTTCACTAAAACTTTAGCCATACAGTGATAAAAAGAACATCTTAGAAAGGGATCAGCAAAAGAGATTAGAAGAAAACAAGATTGGAGCCGATTCTAACAGAAGTGTGACACATGATCTGAAGAATGTTATAGTTATATAGTGTGGCCTTTAACACCCTCTGTATAACAAGCTGTATTTCTGACTTTAACAGTAATTGAATATGGAGTCCCAAGACGGGCCCTGTTCACTTACATTCAGGTGCATTTTATACTCTTTGACTTCTTCCACTTCACGCTCTACACCGGGGCCATTGTGCTCCCGCTAACCAGCTCCACGAAAGCTCTGGAGACCTCTGTGCGCCCCCTGGATCCTGTCATCCATCTGCCACCTCAGCCTCCTCCTCCCTCTCACCAATGCTAATGACTGCCAGACTTCACAGGAAATATCTGTTCACTTTTATACATAATATATATAATTTTTTTTCAATCCGTGGAACTGTGGATTCTGTGCATTAATCTTGCCTTGTTTCTTTATCCAGGCTTCCTGTTTCAAATTAGTGTCGTCTATTCTTTTGCTCCTTGATCTTGTTTCTCTTGATTTATATATTTTGGCCATGGCTGGTAAAGCTTGTACCTAGTGATATATAATAAGGATTTTAACCAGGAATATTAGCAATACTAGTAGTGTCTCTGGCTATTATTATACGTGTTATGTTTTATTACCGTGGATATTTGTGATGACCAGTTGATACTAAAATAAGTAATGTGCCTTATAGATTCTTAAGAGTAATTTGGACCCAACCATATGGCTTAAGCATTTGCAAACTTAGTTATTATAGGCTTGATTACAGCTGAGCTTTAATATTTGCCCACTATCTTTGAGATAAAGATTGACCTTAACATGCAGGTGTGAAAAATGGTTTGTCGGATGCTTCTAAATGTTGTATTTGTACATTGTTGTAACAGGCACAATATTTGGCATTCTGCTGTTGAATGTATCTACTCAGCGTGTTTATTATTACATTGTGTCCTTCAAACGTTGTTCTCCTCAATACAAGATTTGGGGCACAGAGTTGGCTCGACATACGCTGCGAGTCAATTATCTTTGTAAATAAAAAAGGCCTTGTTCCATTTCGACTGGATCCCGTGTCTGACATGAAAGCAGCTTTAGCCCCAGAGGACGCACCAGCCTTGGCTCTCATCTCCACATGCCTCCTACCCACTTTGCACAGTGGTATTTTTCGCACAATAACAAGAATTGTGTTTCTATGTAAATAATTCTGTTTGGATGCGAGGGTCACGACACAAGACCAAACGCTGACTTTTGAGCTTGTCATTGTTGCGGCTTATCAATTATTTGTTGACTAGTCCCAAACCGTAAATCCTACATCCACTGAGCGTTTCTATTTGCACTGTCAGTCTCTCCCCTGGCCCACAGGGGGCAGCCTAATGCCCTTATCTGAAGCTGACATGCCACTGCCGCATTTCTCCCTCTTGCACGGTTTTCTCTCCCCTCTCTCTCTGACTTCTTTTATGTCCCCCTCACATAGACACAAACTCAGCCCCAGCTGTGAGGCACACCATCCCAAGCCATGACAGAAAGGTTGCACTATCCATTCGAGCACTAGCATTTAAACCGGTCACAGCTATT